TAGATTAAAATCCATTGTAATTTTTTACAAAACAATCTACTTTCATTTTTATATTACAATATACCTCTTACTCTAAAGGTATATGGTTTAAGTAGTGTCATTTTTAACTTATGTCATAAATTATTAACCCAAAAAATAAAATATATTAATTAAATATTGATATTATTTTTTTATTTTTTTAATTTTTGATTGATTTCGATTTTAATATATATCTAGATGATTTCTAAGTTATATGCACTATATAGTATAATTTGTACTATTCCATACATAACATGTTCTGTCTCACACTATGAACATTAATTTGCTCATATGACATACTCATGAGTTCATGACCTACAATTGCATATATTATTATGTTTTAAAATTATTATTATAGTATTATATATGGGACCTCTTAATTGGAAGTTATAGTTTCACGTGACCACGTGCCATGCATGTACTGTCGTGTTCACTGTTAGTGAGTTGTGGCTCAATCCCTAAATAAAGTACGAGTTGCGGCCATACATTAATGTATACATTACATATATACTATATTATATATTCACAACAAAATCAATTTAGAACTTAGAAGTGTAATAAAAACACGTAAATATTAGTTTAGTCACGAGGCTCCTACGACTTTTGCACGAGTACGATCGCACACATAAGAAACCGATCAGAAATATGATGATTTTAACGCGACTGTATGAACTTGGTGTGAAAAAAGTACGAAGCCGAGTCTGCGGCAACAACGTTAAGTAAAGGTCGCATGGATAACTTCCCATACGTATCGAACATTTCATTTCGTATCGAACATTTTATTTACCGTTATTCGTTTATCGTTATGTATATTCTCATAGATAATGATAATTATTTTGGCCGCAACTCACATGCAGCTAAAATATTGTGGGGCTGCAGCTAACCTACACCTAAAATATTATCGGGACGCAATTCACTGGTCTCTAACACCGGAAACGACACATCGGGTTGCAACTTACCCACAGCCGTCGTGTTATTTCCTAAAACGTTTGATATTACGTACATTCCCATCATGATATGTATTGTTAATCAAAAAATTGATGTATAATGATAAGTATTACATTAATTATATGTTATAGTAATATTTGTTACGAAATAGCTGAAATAAATAATGATTTTGTTTTTTAACAATTTGAACTATAATTAAGTATTTTATTTGTACTATACCAAGCTCATACTTGTTTATTATATACATCAATTTAAATATCAGTTGAAGTTTAAAGTATTTGGGTAGCTTATTTTTTAGAACAGTATAGATTATGTGCAGAACATAGATTTATGTATTGATTTTTCAGTGACGTATTTCTATTTTTTTTTTTTTTTTATGTACGGTACATTTAGTTTTGGAGATTTAATCTAAAATATTCATAGATATGTTTGGCAAAAAATATTATTTAATTGATAATTTAAGAGAATTAAAACTAAGAAATTCCCAGTAATTTTAAAAACTACCGATAAAGTTTTAAGTAAAATGATAGTAAAACGTAAATATTTACATAATGTTTTAATAAAATGTAGGTATTTATTTGTTTTTTATTTTTTTTGTAATTCAATTTTTGATACTTTAAAATATTTAAAATAATAAGCTATTTATGTAAAAAACCTATTCATATTATACTTTATACTATGTATTTTTGATACAGATCTGTTCAACCTACCAAATTAAGAAAATTATAATTATAATGTGAATGTAACGCAGTATAAACTATTTTTAAAAATAGACGTTGATCTGATAATTTTAATATACAAGGATTTAAAATTCAATTTAAATTGAATTTATTCGTTACACATTACAGTGAATTATTATTCTTAACCGTGCGTTTACAACATTGGAAGCGTAGTCATATAGGTAATATTTGTAATAAGTATTTATATGTTTTAATTTAAATTTTGTTTCAATAACTATTCGTGGTGGTTGATGGGAAGGTCGACGAGAGAGTAACATTTTTTTAAACATTATTTACTTACCATTAAATAAGTAAAATAATCACATACTATTATAAATTATAAATGCAGTATATTATTATTAAAAAAAAAATATCTTTAACATTATTAGGTTATTACTTAAGAAGTATGAGTTATAAGTTACATTTTCACAGTTAGGATATCCAAAACTATTTATAACTGGTAAAATTTTCCAAGAACATATATTAATTGATAATTCAGTAACTTACTTTTACCGTGTAACACTTGTACGTAATAAATTATTTATATATTTTTTTATTTACCTATAAGTTATAATCGTGTATACCTGAAAACAAAGTTCTTAAACAATCTATTATCCTACCTCGCGTGCACGCTTATAAATGGCCTACTCAAAGATGAGGTACACTCAAAACGTTTTATACAGCGGAGAAAGTTTCCTATTTTTTTGTATCATTCATGGTTCTTATACTAGGTTAAATAATGTTTTTTTATTGTTTTTAATTTTTTAATTACGTTTATAAGAAAAATTAGTAGTTTCGTAGTATAATCTAGTCACAATATTGATTATGGGCTATTGAAAAAAAAGGCAAAACTGTTGCTTTCACCCTATCACTCGATTTGTAAAGGATCGCGTGAGAAGTCGGCTGTACAAATTAATGTATGTCGTTGTTGTCACTATTCCTATAATATAGCCCTTTGTTGTTATTATCGTGGGTGTGGCATGACCATAGTACTATACGAGTATGACTACTTTTTTATTTCTACTGTGATTGTAGTCGACGTTAGACTTATCCCTATAATGTCTAGATCTATCTGCTAACAAAGTTTTATGGAATTCAAATAAGAAAAAAAGAACATGTCATAAAACGTAAGTACTTGCACATTTAGCTATGCTTTTGCACGGTGTTATGATATAAGGAAACCTATTCAAATTGAGTATTATGCTCAAAATAATTGGGAATAAAGTTTTTAAATAGATCTATAGGCTTTGTATTAAACTTTATAATTGTATATTTGTTATTGTTAAAATCAGTTGGTGCGGTGTTCCGATAGTAATATATCACTGAGGATTAGTATTAACGAGAGGAGAAGACGTTCTGTATGGACCCCATATTATTAATAATAGTAACTGAACATGTATATTGGTTGGTATTACCATCATATTTGAACAATAATTTTAATGTAATGATATATCATACCCTATAGGTCCCATAAAATAGATCATAACTGCAGTAATACTTGAAAAATTCATATCATATATTTTTAAGTTAAGTTTTTCTTAACATTAAAAGTAGCTGAGTCTTAAAGAACTGGTCAAAATTTCTGTGTTTTTTTTTAATATTTACAATTTGTTATTCTAGAATATTATATATGTACTAATTTTAAATATAATTAATTAAATAACATTAGGTTTATATTTACTGTTATTGCTTATTATCATTTAACAATATTTTATTGCATTAAATTTAGTTTGAATTAAAATATTAATTTTCACAATTCTTACATTAAATTTTTATCCAATAGTTGTTTTTTTTTTAATTTTAAACCATCAAAGTCGAAAATAATACGAACTTAAAATTACTTTGATATTGTATTTTAAGTTTTATATACTATATTTATTCTCTTATAATTGTAATTAATATTTTGTAATCTGTTCATAAATTAATAATATCTTTACTTGTTCTTTATAATATATTTGATTAAAATATCATAATATAATATTACGGGTGTGTAATTGTTAGTTATCAGAATACGTTATACTTGCAAGGACTTTTGTGTATTTGGTATAAAATACAAAAAAGTAGTTAGATTTTTAATATTTTACTTATTAATTAATTATATTTAGGTAATTTTTACAAATTATAAACTGCTCAAAGTTTTTTTTATAGCCTCTATCCAAACCTTTTATTTTCGTATCTAATGATAATAATTCAGAAACGACAGAAACGACAGAAACTTTAATACTTTTTTGAATTTCTATATCGTTCTATATCTGACATTTTTGAGAACATCTTCTCCTTAACAATACACAAAAATGCTCCTCATTTTAAAAATAAAGAATTTTGTATCACCATAAGATTTTACCAATAAAAATATAGGTATAGTAAATACTAACAAGACGACTCAACAATATAATACATTATACGAACATCCACCGACGTTTTCGATGGATTTCTTTTCGATACATTAACAATTGGATATTATTTTTTAATAATAGTCATATAACCTAGTCATACAGGCACGTCCTCCAATCGGTGTTAATTCATTCAGCTGATCAGCAGTGTGTACACATAATATTTTACGCGCATATAACACGTGTATATATTCCGGAAATCCGCAATGTCACACCGACACAGCATTCACATCCGCGGTGTTGTTCGAATGTCACGGAGTCGATTGTCGTTTTTATATACGAGTACGTGCAAAATGATAAATTACTAAGTCCTGTCCTTACTACGCTCGCGGAATTTCATCAGGATGGACGCCGCTGATTGCGTTCGTAAAATCTAAAAACGACACAAATTCCAGATGTTGGTGGCGGTGGTTGCGTAATAATAATAATTTTACTGTTGCACCGCGTAACGTTTAATTAACTCTGGCTGGAGTCGTAGTGAGGGGGATGATGGACGGTAAGGGTTCTCCAGGTCGAGGGTGATAGGGTTTTTTTGGGATGGTGTCACGGGGAGGGGATGTTTAATCTGCTTAATGGTAGCACAACAACCGTCAATTATTATACTATGTCGGCGAGACGTTGCACGCAATTTTGCCTAAAACGGACTCGCGTGGCATCTCCTTCCCCACCGGTCGAACGACGTTCCACGCACGCTGTTTTGTATATTATTACATAACTTATAAGCATTGTACATTTAATAATAATAATTTTTATAATAATATGTATATTGTACAAGTTATCCACACACACACACACATGCTGTGTGACAGTAAACATATAAAATAGTTTAAACATTTTGAGATTTTATTTGCTTTGAAGTAATATAAACCATGCATGACTACATATATACATATATTATGACTGTAATGAATGAAAATTACAGGGGATAACGTCACAGGGTCCACGTGATTCGTCGACAGTAGAATTGTTTTTTGACGACGACATGAGTATTAGCAGAGGACATTCGGTAGAAAAGGTTCGGTTTTCAGCCAGCCGGGCACATTCAGATGGTACGTGACATAAGTATTTGTTCAAAATAATTTATTTAAATGTTACGGGCAATGCAAATTATTGGGCGATAATCCATTGAGAAATTTTACCCGTTTGGAGTGACCCATATTAACTCTAAAATAATACGTAGACAGTATACTTAAAAAAAAAAATTAATTAACAAAACCCTTTATTCAAATATTTATCTTTGTCTACAATTATTTTTTTATATTTTTAAAAATACATAATATTTTAACTATAACGCTATGATTAAATAAAAAATGTAAAAATTAAATAAATATAAGATATGAACATAATATAGTGATATATTCACCGGCATATTAGTAGTAAGACAATTTTATTATTTAGACTAACATAGTAGTAAAGATTCAGAATATTCTACAAATAGGTTATTGGCTGCCTTTAACCTATATATTGTATAGTTAATGAAATAATTAATAATTATAATACATTGAAACATAATATTATATCATGCAACGTGCAATAATTAAGTAAAGTGTAATATATTTTTTTTTTTTATTAAAAATATGTATTATACATAATTTTAAAACATACTTAATTTAAAATTATACATGGACGAATTTGCTTGGGTATTTCATTTACTTAAACGACAATAGTACCCAGAAATTATAGTATACCTTATCTGATCATCAGACAACAAAAATAGTACACACCACTTCTGACAAAAGTAGTATAATTGAGTATATATTCCACCCATAATTGATGTACAATTGATAAACAATATTGACATGGACTTTACAGTATTATTAATTAATCAGCTATTTAATAGGTATTGTAAAAATTTTATTTCATTGAATGTATTAGACATAAACTTTGTATAAATAATAATAATAATAATAACGTATATTTTTATTAATTGGCTTTTTTAGAAAACGATGAGGATTATTCAGCTAGTGTAAATGCGATACTCCATAAGCGGCTTAGCGTTAGGAAAGGCAAACACCTTAAGCAAAGAAGATCATCTTCTCCCGTGTCTTCAATGCTAGCCGATGACGCTAGTTTAATATCAGATCGAAGGAGATCGTCAGCATTTACAACCAGTTCTGGAGAGTGAGTTTCAAAGCATTAATATAAACTAAAAAAGTATACTAAAAGATTATAAGATTATAAATTATAATTCATCAAATCAAATTTGAAAGAAAAAATTGTAAATTCATAATTTGAATCATTAAATGTATTGTTTTAGTTATTCTCATAATGTGTAAATGGTAGAACTGACTCAATAAAATTAGTAAACCTGAGAGACTTTATTAAGTTTCTTCCGGGGTTCCTCAAGAGAGCTTTTTTTTTTATTATTGTATCATTATTTTTTAATATTCATTAATGATAATGACTCAGCAGGGTGTTTAAATTGTGTGAATATGGAATTTTTCGTTATTTATACAGACAAAGCTATTATAGTACTCCAACAGAAATTAAATAGATTCTTCGAGTGGAGTTTTTAAAAAGGTCTAACTAATAATGTATTCTTAAGATGCTTATATTGAAATAATTTACAACAAATAATTATGCGTAATGAAATGCATTTATGCGTTGTAAAAAATTGAATAAGCTACTTAGTTTGGTTAAACGTGTTATAGAGTTTCTTAGTAAGAACTATTTTAAGATTTAGTACAATAATTATTTACGAACCCCTAATAAACAAGGTTCAATTTTTAAATTAAAATTCTCAAAGAAGTTTCTTTGAATAAGTTTCCTTTTTGTTAAATTATATCTCCTTAGTAATAACAATTATTCGAATAGTATGATTTATTATTCTTTTACGCTCAAATAATGACATTTAGGATTTTGAGTTTTTTTTTTATTAATAATATTTAATTTTAAAACTCAATGTACGAACTATGTTCCTACTTTAAGCTTTACTATTTAATTATTTATTATATTAACTATATACTCGTAATCTTACTTTTTAGGGTGTAGCTTTTTAAAAAAATATATAAAAAAAAGTTAAATGTAGTTTAAACAGTTTTCATAAGTTTTAATTAATTTATAAATAGAATTAAAAAATGTAAAATACATGGTCTATGATTATTTGGCTTTTATGATGTTGAGAAATAAGAGTTGAAGGAAATACAATCTAAAAAGAAAATATATTAATTCGTACTGGGTAATTGTAATACATATTAAGTATATTATCTGAAATCAGGTCGTTATTTGATAAAATGTTTAATTTCCTTAGTCAAGACTGTTTAAACGATTTAATATTTGTTTCTAAAACATAAAAAATTAAGATATATCTATTAACGCGTAAAAATAAGATGAAAACTTTTGTTTGTATTTTGTGTTCAATAAAATTGACAGAAAATTAAAATGAGATTTCATAGCTTGGCGTTTTATATATTACTGATGTTGCAAGAAAATTAGAGGAGAAATTTTTCACTGTAGTTGGACGATTTACTTATTTATCAATTTCACTAAACGAAAATATAAAATGTGTTAAAATATTTATCTTAGTTATGTTTCAATCAAAATTCTTGAAAATCAAAGAGTATACTCTATATATCGGGTTTGGGTTTACAAAACGGTCTTCGTGTCCTAATTTGGTCACTATTAAAATACACGTAGTTTTTCTTTATTCATTATACTTGGTCAGTCGAAATACTGTTTAAATGATAACACGTTTTACATTTAAAACTGTATATACTATTACTCTATATAATTATTTTATTATGTTAATTTCAAAATGTAGTGTTTTAAATTATTTTTAACTGATTTAAATATTTTTTATTTAAAATCAAAACCAATTATTAAATCAGCTAAATATTTCTGATTTATAAAATGTATAATTTCTAGGTACAATTCACAATTAAACATATTTTTATCTAGAATCTTGACACATATATTTTAATTATTTTTATTAATGTTTAGATATATTTATGCATAGCAGTAGTTAAATTTATAAAAATTTGTATTGTGGGAATATGAATAACAGGGAATATTAATAATTTTGAAAAATTACCAAGATTATTTTGTCTTACCTTACAAATTACATATAATTATTTAAAACATATTTAATAAATCTTTGCCATTGTAAGAATGTACATAATTAATTGATATATTTTTTGGTAATAAAATATGAAAAAGATTTGCGATCTTACTTATGGTAATAGAGCAGTTTTGTGGAGAATAAAATTTAAACGGGAATTATTGAGATTGTCACCGGTTAGTATAATAAGTGGTTGTCAGCAAATTCAATGGTTTAGTCATATAAAGCACAGAAATGAGGAAGAGACAGTTAAAGCGGTACTGGAATGGTATTCTACAAAGAAGATACCTCGCAGGTGACTCTTGAAAAAATTGGTTGGATACAGCAGAAGAGGATCTCGAGAAAATAAGAGTAAGAAAGTGGAAAACGATAATTTGTAACAGGGAAGAATGGAGGCAGATTTTGATAATGGTGAAAACTCTTGAAGAGTAATAAAAAATGCCAGAAGAAGCAAAAAATTTATATGTTACGTTTTAGTCAGTTTATTTTTGTTTGATTAAAATATAAAAAATATAATAACATTATATTATATTAAATCCTAAATTCTAATTAAAGTACTGTAACGATTAGTTTTAGTTTTTTTTTTTTTTTAAAGATAGTATCATAACATTAACATTTTTTTATTAAATGAACGAAATAGTTATAATTTTTATTTAAAAATAAAATATTTTTAATTTTAAAAGTAGTTTAAATTTGAAACACTATTCTTGTTTTGATTGAATACTTTTGCATTCCATTAATCAAATTTTATTTTTGACAAAGAAGTTTTACATTTATTATTACAAATTACATAATTTTTATTTTAGTACTTTAGTAATATTATCAGTAGTAATTTTAGTTAAATTATTAAAAGTTCACTAATCTTCAATAAGTTATAAAATAAAAAAGTAAACTATTATTAATGTTTAAAAAAAAAAGAAGAAGAAGATATTTAGAAATTAGATATTTTTTCTAATTTTATACATGTAGAAGAAAGTATTTTTAACAAGTATGGTTCGCATAATTACTTTCAACATTATCTTTCAGATTCAATTGTCGTTACGTTGTGGTTCATCAGGCCCTCAGGAATACTCTATTCCCTCTCGTATTTTAACTTTTCTTATGATGTCAGAATCAGTTATAAGTAATACAATTTGATGTCATTTTTATGCTTTCTAAAACTGTATATTACATTTTAAGTCTGTAGACATTATAATATACGATCTGAAAATGTTAGTATAATTTAATTATTTATAAATATTGTGTTAAATAAGTTAATTTTATTTCGTACTTGTGTAAATTATAAATTATATACGGTTTAATGTCTATAAATATTTCAAAGAGAAAAATCTTTTAGTTTTTTAAAAGTAAATCTTATATTATGTGTATACGAAATATGTTAGATTTAACGGGTTCACGTAAAATGCGCTTCAAAAGTATATAATCCATTTTGCTCACGTGTATGATTTGGTCCAATTTAAAATATAGAATAACTCATCTCTCGATTAATGCTATTTGGATATATAAGAGACAGAAATAATCCGTTTGATTCTGAGATAGTGCGTCTAATGTTGTATTATAACTTATAATTATAATTTTATCTCTAATTATATGCGTAAAAATAACTCAAAGGTATTAATTAATAACCTTGATTTTGCGACAACGACTGATAATGATAAAATTACAAAAAATAACATGGATAACACTATAAATGTTTATAATTTAAAATAATAAAAACAATTATTAAAAATAGTTAAAAATTAATGTTATCTATCTCGTTTATAAAATTAAATTTTCATTTTATCAATAAGGATTTTGTAAATAGTTTAGTATAGCATTAATTCAACGGATTATAACAGCAACTCGTGGCCGAGTCAGATAGTATAGGTATATTTTAGATACAAATTATTTGTATATTTTAAAAATGATATGTTTATTCACAGTATTTCATAATATAAATAGTGCAATGTATATTATTAAATTTTTGGTTGGAAACATTATGCATTGTATAACAATTAAATAATGATTAAAATATAACCATCTTATCTTTACAGTACGGCGATTAACATCGAAGATGCTGGTATCTCTCAAGAGCAGATACTTGAAAACATTCGTTTACACAAAGAGGTATTAGGCAGTGTCCGTCAACAACCGTGGTCCATACGGAGGAAGATGAAATTGGTTCAGCAAGCCAAAGAGTATGTTAAGAAACACGAGGGTCAGCTACAAGAACGTTTGGCAATGAGTAAAAGTACGAGAGATATCATGGCGCGGTTTCACATAGTCTTAGTTAAAGTAATACGATAACATAACGAAAATATTGTTAATGCTTCGGTGTTAATATAATATGATAACGGTTCGCTGTAAAAATATAGCAATGGCAGCACAGTAAACGGGAGATGGCCAATTTCATAAGTCAAATAATACCATGGGAACTAACGATCAAAGAAATTGAATCTCAATTCGGCACGGTAGTCGCTTCATACTTCACTTTCCTGCGCTGGTTGTTCTGGGTGAACTTTGTCATATCTGTGTTGTTAGCAGCTTTTGTCGTCATACCCGAAGTACTCGCAACAATTTAAAAAAATCATATTATGAACTTCTAAATCCAAATATCCGCACCTGAAATTAAAAAGTATACCAGTTAATAATAATTTGTTATGGATTTTACAGATTTTGATGACCAATAAGGTGGATACCGGAGAACGAAAGACACTGTTGCCCGAAGAGCAAGATACTTCTAAGGAATTAATGACTTTGTTGAATTTTGAAGGAGTTCTACAGCATTCACCCATATTTTACGGCTACTATTCAAATCGACAAAGTTCGGATACCGGATACCAGCTACCCACAGCCTACTTTATCACAGGGCTCGTTGTTTACATTTACAGTTTCGTGGCTACGCTCAGAAAGTATAAATACATATATATATATCTAAACATACTACCCGAAATTCGAACTACCATAATAGCTGTTTTAATGTGTTCTTATATGTTCGTTGTATTAATTGTTATATAGAATGGCCGCAAACTCTCGTCTGAGCAAACTATCTGAAAAAGACGACGAGTGCATTTTTACGTGGAAACTATTCACCGGGTGGGATTACATGATCGGAAACGAAGAAACTGCTCATAATCGTATATCGTCCATTATACTCGGTTTTAAAGAAGCGTTGCTTGAAGAAGCTGAAAGAATGAAAGACAAACAAAAGTAATAAAATATCTATCAGAAATCTGATTTTTTACACATGCGTAATCAATCATTGAATTAAATTAAAATTATATTTTATGAGAAGAAGGAATTATATTTAATTTTTAGTATGGTTTAAGCTATTGTCCTAATTGTTAATAATTGTACTGATACTTTTCGTTACTCAGTGCAATAGAAATATATTTTGTTGTATTCACTTGTTTCGTAGTTGGAAAGTGATGGGTCTGAGAATATTTGCAAATTTGAATATGATATGGATGTTGGGAAGTTCGGTTTATGCTGTCATTTTCGTAGTAGAAAGGTCTACAGACCAAAATATTGAATCCGATTTTTGGAGAAAATATGAAATCACATTTGTCATGACGCTTATTGGCACGTTCTTTCCGATTGCGTTTGAAGTGTTGGGCGTGTTGGAGAGTTATCACCCCAGGACAACTCTTCGTGTACAATTAGCTAGGTAGGTATATAAAATCCAAATATCTTTTATATACCTTTGCACATGAAAAATTTACATTTCATAAAAAAAACTAGTTTTTTTTTTTAAAGATAGAATAATAATATACCTGCTTATATTTACTTAATTTAAGCATACCGCATTCGTCTTTTTTTAGAAGTATCTGGAAGTTTAAATTAAACCTTAAATATTTAGATTCATTCATTATTATTTGAAAATAAAGTTACTTTTATTTTTTGTAGTAGGTTAGAAAATCTCATTAAATTTTCTATTTATTTTAAGCACAGTATTGATGTTACTGTAGTAAAATGGTTCCAACATTTTATTTTTAATTGAAACACTTTTTAACAAACATAATTTTAAATTATTTAAATTATTATATACTATTATATATAATTATATATTCTATTAATTGCATTGATGAATTTGTTAGTTACAAAATGAATGCAAAGCTTTGAATTTGTATTTTTAAACAAATGGTTAATAATTGAGTTATTTTATAATTTATATTGATCTTTTGAAATATTTAAGTTTGCAGTTTATATTTTTATAATCTGGAAATAAATTAATTTTATTAAAAAGAAAACAGAATATTATATTTTGTTTATATAAGCCAGGGTTTGGGTTGGTTTTTTTAAAACTATTTTAATACTAGATTCATTATTAATGAAAAAGAATAAAATAACGGACGTTAAAGTCTACTGTTAAACAAGATTTAAATTAACCAAAACGAAAAAAATTCTTTAAAGACAGCGATAGAATTTTTTTCAAATAATTTTCTATTAAATTATGTATTGTGGTTCCATTTATACATGACTTCTTGCGTTAACGAAAAAGTGGCGTGATTCAATATTGAAAAATAAATTGAAAGTAAATTGCTCCAAAGTACCCTAACATAATTCAATATTTTCGCAACGAAAGTACATAAACAAATAAAAAATACCTACTATAACGTTAAGGAAATATTACATGCGTCATCGTCACTGCTTTCACATATACTAGTATTTGTTACATGTTGTATACGGATGATTAGAGACTTATGCTTTTTTTTTGAACCTTTATATTAGTGACCTTTTTAACTATAGTATAACAGTAATTTGATATTGTAAATTATGTTGTAATATACTTTCGAAAGACTTAAAAAAAAAATCATAAAATTATAATAAAAAAATTTCAAATTTGATTGCGTCACTAAATATTATTACCATGATATATAATTATTAATAATAATTTATTATGCATTAGTCATTGTTGTTATGTTTTCATAGTTTATGGAAAAATATACTCTTAAATTTAAAAAAATATATTAAATTATAATCTACATAAGTTATTTTTTTTTTTTTTTTTTTTTTTTTATTGTAACCTTAGTTATACTATTAGGTTCGACAGTTACAAAGTATACAAATATTAGTTGAAAATAGTAAAACAATAAAAGAGAAACAGATACAATTGTAGATAAGAGTACTGATATAAACCAATTAAATAATTAAATGTATATAAAATGGCCAGATATAATTAAGGAGGTGAAGTATTTTTGGAAAGAATTGTATTTTGGAGATTAGATAAGAGCGAGATTATAACATAAGTTAGGTTGATTAAAAATAAATAAAAAAAAAAACAATAAAATATTTTAGAATAACTACACTCAAAATTAAATACAAATATTACAATTTAGGAAATTGAAAAATAAAAACATAGATGCTCAAACATAGTAATGTTTACATAAGGACGTAAAGTTAACTAAATAAACACATAATAAAATGTTTTACATACATCATAAATAAAGTCGTGGATGTTTCCACGTTTAATGTTAGATTTTAATTGAACCCATCATAAAGTAAGCCTCTATTATAATTTAAATGTATAAAATTTAAATTCAACGATAAATATGTACATACGAAAAATATTTCTAAGTGAAAATACAGTGTGTCAATCTTTAATTTTAAGGATATTTTATAAAAAAGTTTATATTATTATTCTATAAATCATTTATTTTTTTTATTAATCAGTAGATTGAATACATTTTTGACAAAAACTCAAAAATACCGCATTTAATATTATTGTTAATAACTTATAAACGAATACTAACGTACGTGGTGTGAAATGTAAATATCTTAAAATTAAACTAAATCTTCTTAAAATTGCATTGTATATTACAAATAATAATTGAAGTATTATTGAAATATTCCATATTTCAATGATTAAAAGGAAGTCGTATCTGTAAGTGTCGTCTCAATCAAACACATGTGTAACTTACCAAATTTGCGTACCTGCAGGTTCTTTAAAAAAATATTAAATATTAAAAATAATTAAATATTTAATATTATTTAAAAAGTTTTTAATTAAGATTAAATGTGATAATATTTTAAATATTAAAAGAAAATCTGGATTAGGTAATTATATTTAATCAAATAAAGCATAAAAATTAAAAGATTATTGTATATTTTTAATACTAAAACAGACCATATGCACGATCTTCTAATTTCAAGCATAATAACAGTATCTATATAGTTTATTGTATAGACATATGTACCTATGTAATATGTACATTGTGTACTGAAGTGTACACCTATTAGAAATGTACATTTTGATAATCGTACTAAAGCCATTTCAACAACTAACCTAGTTAACAAGTGTTAAATCTTCTTGTTATCCGCACTAATCACATGATATTTTTAAAAAATTTTACATAAGGTGATTTATTTTAAAGTTAAATCGTACCTTTTTTTTAAAAAAAATATGCTGGTTGATAATTTTTTCAAATTAAAATGTATTAAATATTTTATTCTGTGGTTTAAAATGTTTATTTATAAATGTATCATCTCTGTAGAACGCTCTTATAACCACTTAAATCGTTTGATAGAATATAACAAACTATTCAATAAATTCTAATAAAAATATAGAACTACCTATTTTAATACTTTAATTTAAATTAGTACATAGAAATTATAAATATTTATATTATTATTATTGGTATAATTAGTATGATTTGGTATTTTATTTTTTCTTCAAAACAATAATGGGCCTCACTGGACATATTCATGTGAAGGTCCATGAGTTTAAATTTTAAATTATAAATTTAATAAGTAGATATAACACTTAGAATTATTAAAATAACAATTACAATAGATTTTCATGCATAATTAGAATATTAATATAATTAAATACATTTATTGTATATTTTATGTATAATGTAATATTATATAAAAAATCGCATTGAATAGAGGCATACAAGAAGGACACACAACGTACGACAACGAACGTCATCATTATGACCGTGGATAGCACAGATGATTGCCAGACGACCTTTTTATCATCGACTGGTCTGATTCGTGACATTTGACGGTTGGCAGATTATTTAACGCCCGTACCTTTCATGGGCAGTAGAATTCACGTGTTGGCCAAGACCACTGGAATGGGCTTGACAATCACGTCGGTGTTTAAATTAAATATCATTAGCTCTAACCTACTAGCTTATGGATATTAAACTTTTGTAAAATAACAAGATGGTAAGGCCTAGACCCTAGCCGATCCCTAACCGGCCTGGACCCCAAGTCAGACAGGTGAAACTTTGAAGCGAATAGCTGTTTAGAAACCAGAGGAAACTGGTTGGACGCGACACTGACTTGACACGTGTGCTATAACCAGTGTAACCCCGTAAAATGTTTTGTAAACTTTGACTACTGGTTGCCAAATCAAACTCTGTCCTTGTTCATTGACCAAGTGTTAAGATACTGTTATTTCCAAATCTTGCAATCTATCTATACTACTACAGTAGACGCCGCTGATAAGACTCACGGATATAAGGTTCAGTCGCTTATTAGACTCAACATCGTCTGGAACGGACCGGACGTATCCAAATACATTAAAAAAAAATCAGTTTTAAGACTCAACACTTCGGTTATAAGACTCAAATTTCGTAAAATAAATAGTAGAAAATAAACTTTTTTGGTTATAATTTAGAAATAAATTGGTTTTGAAAAATGAAATAATATTCGTGTTGATTATTTCTAGTTTCTGTTGGTACCTTATTATATATGACGTATAATAATTTTTATTGCAGATAAAAGTTCACATTTATTGCAACAATAATTATAACGATTAAAATTTTAGTTTTTTTTATCGGGATTATTAAATTTATTCAATAATAAAGTATGTAATATGTGTTAATGTATTAAAATCAAAGCAAAATATATAGTAAAACAAAATTTATAAATACGTAATTAATTTTTTTTTTCCACTTCGCCTATAAGATTCATTCGGTTATAAGACTCACTTTGTGCTAGTCCCAAAGTGAGTCTTATAAGCGGCGTCTACTATATATAGATTTACTTATCGGCATGGATCTAGATTCTAAACTTTTCCTGAAGTCAATTCGAACATTCAATTTATGTTTCCAAATGACATCAAATGGTTCCAAATGGTCAACAATTTAATTCAATATTACAAATCTAAGATCAAGTTCATCACAGAAATAATTTATATGACAGAACAACGTTTGCCGGTCAGCCAGTAAAAATAAAATAAATCAAGAAAAATGGGAATTTTTACGTAATTTTATTATTAACACATTCGAGACGAAACACAATAATAGAAAAATACGTTGAGGACGAATAACGCGCTGAGCGCGTTACAGTATTTTATTCATTGAAGACGGATCACGCGTTAAGCGCGTGATGATTTTTAGACATCGATATTAAATTCAATTTTTATTCTACACTTTTCGTATTTTCATCAATCGATAGAATCGATAGTGTTAAAATTATCAACATCGAAAATTAAAATGTATAAATAGTTGGCTCCACGTGGAGCATTGTTTCTAATTTATTTTTAACTGATGACAACAATTGCATTTTGTCTACAAAAATAATTTCTATTGACTTATAATTTTGTTTCAAATATATTGGATATTTCTCGTGAATTTTATCTAATTATATATTTTTAAGTATATATCTACTAAGTATATTTTTAAATACACATATAACATTGAATTAGTTTAAACATAAACATAATATATCAATATATGAATAAACGAGTATGAATGAAACCGAACGCTAAAATTAATGTTTATAAAATAATAACGATACACGGTGTGTATAATAAATATTGACATATTTTTATCAAAAAGATTTTAAACTCAATGAATTGCGTTTTTAATAACGCATAAATGCAAATAACGCAAATAACGATTTTAATTCTGAAATTCATCATTTATACTAAAGAATAACCATATAATAACGAATTATTATTTATATTTCTTATTTCCATTGTGTTGATCAATGTTTTGAAACATATCATACTTTTGTATGATAAGTATTAAAGTATTGGTTGTAATTATTATATTTCATTTTTATTTGTAAAATATTAATTTTTTTTTAGTTATTTTAGCACTTTTATTATGCTGGTCAACTTTTTTTTTTTTGTTAGAAACAGTACATTTTAATAAAATAATTATATGAATAGAATAATTTACTATTATTTGTTGAGTATTTAAAAATATTTAATAATAACTGCTTAGTAAATAGGTTTTTTTGTTTTTCAAAATTGGTTAAGTATCGACGAAGTAATAAATATTTGAAATAAGTTAAAAACGCTCCGTCCACTATAACTAACGTCCGCCGAAATCCGTCGTCCATAACAGTAATATTGACATCACGCGTTATGCGCGTGATCCGTCTCGAATGTGATAAAATTATTGTTTTGTAACCATGGTTACCATTAAAACACTTATGTTATAAGTGTTGTTATAAATTATACGGAATACGAAATTTTAAAAATATCTAAATGAATTTAAAGGTATTATCTATTTATACCATACTTTTATTCACATTGTTCTATGGTAAGGTTTAATTAACTCAAAAGTGAATAATAAAGTTTTTGAAAAATTAAAAAGAAAGCAAAGTTTTGGGGCCTCTCTGCGAGGTTCACAAAAACAGGTTTTTTTATATTCTCATTTTGGTGTTGTCACCATTTTTTTTTCACAGATTTGTTTCAAATATCTTCCTAAACGTCACCACATCACCCGATTTTTAACCTTTTTTTGTCTGGTAGGGAGGGTGTATTGTATTTAAATGTTTCAATTTTCTGACGACACTATTTAACATTTTTCTAATTTTTTTCTCAAAAGATTATATTAAATACTTAATACGCTAGAAACACTTCATTACGTTTTTTTTAACCATTTTTTATATTTACTTGCCGATCATATGATTAAAATATAATTTGAATAAAAAATTCTATATATCAATATATATCATCGTCTGAAGCCAAAATAAACAACCAATCACGGGCGAAGCCGTGACGAGTAACCTAGTATTATACATTTTGGTAAATATACATTATACAACTCTATTTATACTTAGACGTTGAATTTAAGTTTGTGGATAAACGTGTCGCATTTTTAAGGACTTACATTTCTATTGAAATGAAGTGATTTGTCAAGCACTTTTGTTCGCGGGAAAACTCATTATACAAAAAGTATAATATTATCAGTCTTGTAAAAATACTTTTGAAAAAGTATTAAAAATACTTTAAAAATGTATTTTGCGAATACCCACAAAGTATTTGAAAACAAATAAAAGTATTTTTTTAAATTTTATACTACATATGTTTTATAAATTAATAATAATAATAATATATATGGGAAACCCACCACATCTATGATATTAATGTATTAGTGCTAGCAACAACGCATATAAAACTGATGTCATCAGTTAGAATATTATTAGTATATTAAATTTTAAATTTATATTATATAATAATCAATAGGTTTTTAATATTCAATTTATTTACTTTTAGTAAATGAATGTAATCAGTATTCATTGGAAAAATGGAATAAAAATGAAAACTCTAAGTAAATATTAAATAATGTAATACAAAGCAATATACTATATAATTATTAATAATTACTTAGATCATCATTTTTTATAGTAATTCACTAATGCTGTAAAATTGTTATGCTACAATATTTCGTCCAAAATGTAATTTAATTTTAAAAATATTGAATGAATTACTATGTTTAATTTTGAATGGTAGTTGGTAGTAATTTTTTGGACCATTAAATACAACTATGTGGATTGTGTTAATTTTTTATGTATGGTTGCAGGTACTTTGATGTTAGATATTTGTCTAGTATTATGTCCGTGTTTGCGTGCATGTTAAATATTTTTATTTGAACAATTATTCTTATGTATACTTTTATTTATTTTATATGGTTGATTAAAATGGGCTATTTTTATATAATTTGATCAAATGTAATAGTTTAAAATTATTTTCGGATAACCATTTTTGGATATTTTTCAAGTCGGTATAATGTAAATTAGCAAATACCTCAACTCAAGATAAATAATTTTGGAAATTTTTTGTCCTTCAACAAAAAATACTGTAACTAGCTTACCGATTTTGTTCAAATCGTTTATTTAGTTGATATGTATATTAATATTGTAAACGATAGAGAATGAAGATTCTTCACTTATTTCATTGTTAATTTGAACGTAGTTTTTTCTATTTTTCTATTTTATATGAACTTAATAAATTGTAATTTGTTCCATTAATACCGAATTTGTTGACATATTGTAGAATATTTGGTGATCCATAGTATCAAATGCTTTAGCTATAATCAAATATAAACAGTACCAATTTTTTTTTTTTATTTTCAAAGGAATTTTAAATGGAGTATAAATTTAAAATTTTAAGTCATAAGAAATCGATTACACGTGGTAGACCGAAACCATAGTATTGGTATTGAGTATTTTTTTTTATAGAAAGGTGATTTTTCGTAGAAATCCGTATTGACTTAAATACAAACTAATGTATTATGAAATTGGGATTTTTTTTATTGTTTATTTAAATGTAAATATTCATATTTGAGAAATTTTTTTTTTTTTATTTTAACTTAAGTAAAAAAAATATTTTTTGCAATTATTTATCAAATTTAATTATATTGATCATAAGTCATAACAAAGAAAAAAAGAAACGACCTTACATCCTAAATGAAAAATGTTGAATTCTTACTATATCTGCCTATCAATTAGTAATCAATTTGCAATAATCTGCTTTCAGGAAATTAAAATTTATTACTTAAGTGACTTATTTAAAATACATAAATGCTTAAATAATAATTTATGACAAGATGAACACTTTTAACTAAATTGTATTATTATATTACACTGAAGTCTAAAATACTGTATTAACACAAATGGTGTATATCGTAAATTTTAATTTAATTTTACATTAATAATAATGTTAAACCTACGGTAAAAATAAATATTTTTGGGCACTTCTTAACCGATGATGGTGAATAGTATTATATATTATACAATGATAGTAAAATGCTTGTTTCATCCGAATAAACCTCAAATTGATATCGATGTACATTTTCTTGTTACAATAATACGAATATTATGTTCCGGATTTTTATAACTTATAACTTAATTAAATTATTTCATTAAGCCTGACACAAATTGTTAGGTTTATATTAATATGATTTGTTAGTTTTAATTTTCTCGCAGTAAACTTTAATAAATCAACTAAATCAGACTCACGCATATAATTATATCTGTACTGTATAGCTACTCATTTTGAACGGAAAATATTCGTTCGATTTAAAATGAATGTTCTTATGAACTGATGTCTCGTTTATTGTGTGTTTTAGGATTATGGCGCTGAACTTGTTAAATCTTTACACACTGACGTTTGCGTTATTTGTGAAAATCAACGACATGGTAAGTATAACATATTAATCTCTTTAAATGTGTTAATTATTCTTAGTGACGTAATCTACGTATATTACGTATGATACAGTCACTATTAAATACCATTTGCATACGTTTAATTATGTTAATCGTACAGAGTTAATATATTTAAATTATTATTTTATTTTTATTATTGTGAAATTGTCTATAAGTTTCTAAAAAATAAAATAAAAAACCAGGCCTGCACTAGAAAAATTTTACATTGTGCTTCATTTTGGTGAAAATTTATAAGGTAGAAAATGTGTGTATTTGTAAACGTGTTTGCTGCAAACAGTGCATTCAAATATTTTTGACATATCCTACATACTCGATCCGTCGGCTATCGGATTTTTGCACCGCAATATATGTTTATTTTTGGCCTATATATTTGTGGCGAACTCTATATTTGACGCACAACGTACATTTTTACTAGAGTTGACCTATTTATGAAAGAAAACATTTTTTTGTTTAGTGAATTTTTTTAGTATTTTCAAAGAAACATTCGTCATTAAAGGGTGACTTTTACTATAACGTATTTTCCATGAGATTTAATTACAACTTAAATATCACAATATAGATTTCATTAAACCTATGCTTAAGGTTCACTACATGCAGTTCCAATTTTAATAACATGATCATTTTAAACTTAAATGTTATAAAATTGATGTATTTTTTTTTATACACTAAACATTTCTTGTTATCCAATAAAAAGTAGATACATATTTTAGATTTTGAGCGCAGCAATAAATGTATTGATTTTACAATGATAAAAGTTTTTTTTTTTTTTATATTTGTGCACACAATAAATTAAAATTTGTCACTTTAAGGGTGGTTGAAGGTTTTAAATAGCAAATTTAATTCAATTTATAATTTAAAGATGTATAACTTAAAAAATCCAAGCACCAAATTTTTAAAAATTTTATAAAGTTTTTTTCTATAAATGTCAACTAAAAAGTATTCATTGAGTAGAAATCAATCATTAAAGTTTTTTAGAGTTTTTCAAAGTTTTCATGGTTTATTATTTTTCAATTAAAAAATAAAGACTATTATAATTTTTTTTTTTTTTATAAGCGTTTAAAGTTAAATTAAACGAAGACATTTTAAGTTCAAATTTAGACTAGATTATTTATTTTAATAATAAATAATGATATTAATTATTATTTTATTATAATTTAAAACTCATGGAAACTTAAAATTAATGTATATTATATTATTATGAATTTTACTATAGCGATGAAATTTTTGATTTGTTTTATGATATTTTCTGTTTATAGTTCATACTATGAACCTATTTTTACTCTTTTACGATATTTAAAACGCTATTATGTTATTACATTTCGAATTATATAAATTGATATAATATAGAATAAATACATATTATTAAAAAACGTATGATAGGTTTATTAAATACATTATTATTGGTAATAATTATATTAACCTATTATAATACTAAAAGTAAAATAAATGATTTTAATAGCTATTAAAAAAACTATCACTTAACAATATAGACTGACAGATCGCCTCCGCTCAGAATCGTTTTTCATCAATAATAATATATCATTGAATTCAAATTTAACACAAAAAAAAATAGTGACCTACCAACTCTTAATGCAAATCAGAGTAATACCCATTTACTTACCTTTTTTTTTAACTCATGAATTTCATAGTTTCAATTTTTGATAACGGATGGTGTCATAATGTCACATTTTATAACCTAACCTTTACCTTTTAAAATGAATTATTTGACAAGAAAACTTCATAAAATGGATTTTTATGGTATCTGAGATAAGTTAGGGATCTCAAAATCTATTTTAAATTTGGTTACAAAACGTCTAAAATATTATGCTGTGAAAACTTAAAGTAAAAAAAATCATTTTGATGTGTATTAGTTCTAACCTGGCTGCTAGCCAAAAAGAGCTTTTTACACGTTTTAAATTATAAGTTAAGAATCTCTAATTTTTGATTTATTTGGTTATAAAATAATATCTACAATAGCTTGATGAAGTTTCGCACAAAATTTTCAAATTTGTTATTCTGACGTAATATTGCAAAAATAATTTTGTTAGTTTTTATAATTAAAAGAAACATTGTTTATCATAATCTCAATATACATTTATAATTTTTGTTTACAAATAGGAAGTTATAATAAATTCAAATTTTAAATGTATAAATAATGATTATGGTTGTATTGATGATAATCACTTCTATTTTTCGATATTTTTATAATATTGCTTATCATATTTTATTCATTGTACTCCTCTGCTATACAATATAATATTATATAATCTGCAAATAATGTTTACGTTACTTATTTTATTAGAATATTTATTTTTAATTATTAAGCAACGATTTTTTAAAAACATATAAAGCCAAATCGAAATGTTATTAATTATTATATTAGAGATTGTTATTAAAAAATCCAATATAGATAATTTCTAAGTATGTGAGTGCGTGTTATTTATGAGTGTCATCCTTGGTTAAAGATACACTTGGCTTTGGAACAACAGACATTTAATGTACCCCTTTCAACTTCAACCACTATTCTCACTTAAAAATATTGTTAATTACTAATTTTTTTTTTTTTTTTGGTTTTATGAAACTTTTTCAATTGTGTAATAATAATAACGATAATAATACAAAACTATTATGACTAAAAAAATTATTGTTTAATATTAGGTGTAATATTAAACACGTATTATTCAAAATAGTAAATTATTTGAACAATAATTTTCTACTTTTTAGATTTTACTATGAAACATTTTTTTTTTCGGTGGACAAGTACACGATAAGTTATCGATAAAACGCTCAATTGTTAAAAACGGTGGTGGTCTTGGATATAAAATTGAATCTAATTTGTTCTTAAAAAAGGTCACACATAAAAATTTCTAGTATTTATTTTTATAATATTCGAAAAATTGAACAAAAAATTAGAAAAAACAGGAATTTTTGCTCAAATCCAATTTTCAACAAAATCAATTTTATTTTTTATGTTACCTACTCGAAAACGAATAGCTGTAGATATTTGAAATTTTCACTGATGTTACTATTATAATTTTTTATTCATAGTAAAATTATAAAAATATTTCAACTCTTGAACTATTAATTGGCATGACAATTTTCCAATATTTTTTTAGTTTTTTTCTATAGCCATCGATAAAAAAAATGTTTAGTAGATCAACATTCTTAAAAATGTAATACAAGATTCCAAATAATTTGTTCTTATATCTGTTTAAAAATATTAGAAATACATAGTCATAATCTTTTTTATTGTTTGCATTAGAAGTTTAAATTTTTATAAATTTTTTCAAAACCACGAAACTGTTCAAACTACAAGTATTTTGCAGTAAGAAAATTATAAAACTTTTTCGTTTTGTATCTAAGTTTTAAAAATGTTAGTACAAGATTCCTGATTAGTATTTTATACTGAAACTATAACATATACTCGTATAAAGAATTTACCAAGAGAATTGTTTTTATAGATATTTAAAGTTCAAATTTGGACAAAATTATTTATTTTAATGATAAATAATGATATTTATAATTTTCAATTCGTGGAAACTTAAAATTTATGTATATTATAGTATAATTAATGGAATTTATGATTTTTTTTAAAGATATTATCTATTTATATTATTAACCTATTCTTATTCTTTTATGGTATTTATAGAAATATTATATGGTTAAATATCAAGTTATATAAGTTGACATAATAAAGTATAAATACATATTATTAAATACTAATGATTAGTATAGTAAATGCAATTTTTCTGGTAAAAATTATATCAATCTACCGTAATGCTAAAAGTAAAATAAATGGCTTAAATATGTCATAAAATATACTTAGTGCGATAAGGCTGACACTCTAACAAACTGTCTTCATTCACAGTCGCTTTTCGTATACAATAATACAGTAATTCTAATATTTTAAATTTATTTTATAATAAAGTTTTGTTATATTTATTCTTGAACCATAAAAACATGAAAAAAATCTGATAAAAATTATGATTGAATGATGTTAATTAAATAAATAATACAATATAAAAATCAGGTATTAATAAGAACTACTATTTATAATTTATAATACTAAGAAGTAAGAACTTTTTTTTTAAACTAAAATATTAAAATATTAAAAAATATTTCTTTTTGTAAACTATTTATTTTACATTTACATATGAAGCGATCGACCTATAATTAATATTTATATATCTACATGTATTTTAAAGAAGATTAATTATTTTTAAATATACAAAGAAGCTAATTACTTGAAAAATTTGTTAGGACAAAAGTTATTTATTATAATATTATACGTATCTATAAAAGTAATAAAATTTAGGTGGAATTACAAATAAAACATATTTAGTGTAAAGTCAGTAAATATTAAATACAATTTGGTCATCTGCTAAAAGAGCACACTAAAACACAATAATAAACTTATATTTGTAGTATAATAAAAATAAAAATAAAAATTTATAGATTATCCGTTTTCGGTGTTTATTACTCAATTTTGAGGCTACTAATTGCTGTTATAATTTCTTTTATTTTCTTGGTTAGGTTTAAAAATTATAAATTTCACTCTAAAATATCGGAAAATTTTCATTTTATTAATTTTAAATCAACATACATATTTCACTACATATATATCAAAAGACAAGTACCACTGGAAGTATCTACCTATTATATCATTTTTCTAAGAAGATAATATACTTAATTACTTATTTAATTATATGTATAAATATAGGTATACATATTATATATAAATATATATATATATAATATACTTATTATAAAAGTCAAACTTAATGAAACAAATCACAAAGAAAAGTGGTGATAAAAAAAAAAAATGAAATTAATAAAAATTAACCAAGGTAGTGTAGGTTAAGATTTTGATTTTGGTGATAATAATAGTTATGTTAGTAGAAACTAAAAACCTAAGCCGTGACCAAATCATCAGTTAATAGAATCTTTCAACAAAATTAACTTAGTTTGAATCTATTTTATCAGAATATAATGTAAAGATCTACATAAACATTACAATTGAGATTCGTTTAGATTTTAGAAAAATATTTAGTTTATTCATAAAAGCTATTCTTATAAAAATCAATAACTTAATCTGTTCTTGATTGGACAATTTTCGATCGAGTTAAATATTTTTTTTTTTTTTTTAATAAGATAAAAAGGCTATACTGAAAATTGTATTGTACAAATATTTTTTTGATTTTTTAATTTGTTGTTAATACGGATCATTCCTATACAATTATTAAAAAAAAAAAAATAAAACGTATATAATTTAATCATATTAATTTTTCAAAGATGTACTAGCAGCTACTTTTGATGCATATTATGATACGAAGCGATTGAGATAAATTGTATATTATGTACCTCAATATTTATTTACTATAATATTTATATAATATTATACGTATTATTCTATTTGTACTGATTCTTGTTTACATTTTAAGACGACTAATCTTTATTTCGACTGTATTTTTACCGATGTTTACGTGTTGCAGACCAAGGAGCTGTTGGAGTTGAAAGATAATGTATCTAATATTACAGCCACTGCGGCTACCAAGGCTACCACAGCCACCATGGCCACTACGGCTACCGCGACCACCATAGCCACTGCGGCCACCATGGCGACCACGACATCTTTGTTGAAAACGACTTCGACTACATCGGTATTGGTAGCATTAGCATTCATGAATTCTACTATGTCGAACACGACAAAATCTCAATTGCCAGTCACCCGTACTATCGATACACAACCGAATTGCTTCCGACAGCAAGTAGAATGTCCGTTCTCCTGGTCAGCTGTCCGGTACGTTCCAACCGACGCGAATCCACCGAAATTGGACGAAAGCGTTCCTTCACCGATTGCGCCACTGGAATTCGGCACGACTGAGACCGATTTTTCGACGGTAGTAGATTTAACTCCCGGTACGAACTTAGGTCCTATTACAGATGTTTTCGGTGCAAATCGAAATGATGACGCCGGGTGGACTGAAAGTACGGCTGAAGCGACTTTCAACACCATTAATGATTTACAAATAACTGCTGAAGTCGTATACGACACATCTTCGTCTGAAAATACCGCCACCACCTCTCAGTTCGATGTCACTTATACGCACAGTTATGATGATATGGTAGAGAATTCGACTGTAGATTTAGTTACAGATGAACCGATGACGGAGAATTCAACCATGGATCCGGTTGATGGTGGGTCAACAATTATGAATCCGACGAATGCTTCGTTAGACTTTTATTCAACGGCTTTTCAATCGATATCGATTTCGACACAGAGTGTAATCGGTGAAACGACACCGGATGAGTCCGTTGAGTTGACGTCGAGTGTCGTTCCCGAATCAACAACAAGTCTGGATGCAGAAGTATTGATGAAGAACACGACGATTGATCAATCGATAATCACTATAGATAAAGACGATGAGCCATATAGTACGATTGCGTCTGATGATCTGCAGTCGTGGAGGACGGACAAGATAATTGCGTTGTCTGAAAGGAGAAGAATCGTAAAACGGATGTCGGAAGTAATTTTCAATGGGACTCATTGTTTTCAAGTAGTTTGTTCGTCTCCATCACCAGTTACAAATGTAACCGAGGTGCCAAATGGTTTTCAAGGATTTAGCAAGGAATCGAGTAAATACCAAAGCGTATACTCGTATATGTGTACTGTTTAATACTACATAGCTCAATGTATGTGAAAATGTGGTCGATATCAATTTGGGCCCCGCAATTCCCTAGAGACTTACATTTCTGCTGAGAACATTAATTTAATCAAATATCTAACATATAGTTACGCGTTGATGTACACGTATAGTACGCAATATGCATTTTATAACAATTTTAAATAAATTATATGAGTTTGATTATTTGTATCCACATAATATAAAATAGTTACTAGTTAAATATATTAAATAATTAGTATGAGTTTTACTACTAAAAAAAAAAAAAAATAAATAGTTAATTAAAAATAAATTAATAATTGTTTAAATGTTAAACTTTGTGATGCTTACGTATAAAATTGAACTATTTAAAGTACATTTCTATTTATATTTATACTAACTCTTGACAGATACATTTTATCTTCAAATTGTCTTAGTTGTTTTTGATACATAATATTTTTATGATAGTTATGAATTTAGATGTCAAGAGGTAGTATGAAAATGTAGAGCCTTTTATACCAAATTTAATTTAAAATTATTTTTATTTTTTTATCCTATTTTATTATTTATTAATTGTATTTGTAGTAATACCTATGATAGTATATTTTAACCATAATATACACTACTAATTTAAATTTAAGATTTTTACCAACATCAGTAAAACGTTACTTATTAAATATTATCATAATATGCATTATTTTTTCGCTTTTAGGGATTTGTTAGATAATATTAGAGAGATTTACTTTGGGCATTTAATTATAATTTTATCAAAAATGAGTTAAAAGCGTTTAATAATTTAATTGTAATTAAAAATTTATGAAATAAATGCACAGTGGTTTTTATATAGGCAAAGCGTACACGACAACGACGGAACATGACGATGCGCCCAGAGAAGACTTATCTCTTCGTACCACTTGTTTGAATCTTCAAATCAGGCGACGATTGCGGAAGTTGTGTTGGGAGACAATGTTTGGACAAGAGCTAGTTAAACTTACAGTCATGGATTTGGTAAGCATATTAAATAAAATGATATCAGAAATTTATGTTTGTTAATACCTTGGGAAATAATTCTAGTATACCTCTTGTTGGTAGTTTCTTGAATTAGTTGACGAAATATGTATGAAATTAGATTATTAGAAACTTAAACATAATCTGTTTTTAAATGTCATTGATGACGAATATGTATTAGGACTTAGTAATAATAAATGAATTTATTTTCTACCTATATACAAATTATACGTATAATCATGATTGAAATAAGTTTGAAAAATCAATAAATATGAAATGTAATTATTTATTTAACAATGCTAAAAACATTAAATTTTAAATTACTTTAAAACTTTAAAAGAAATAAAATAAGTATTCGTTATTTATAAATTCAGGCTTAATTTTGATAACAATTTAAATAATATATTACAATAATATTACACCAAAAATATTATAAAATATTTACATCATATTTTAGTTGAAATTTTTTAAATATTTATAGACTAGTGAGAGGTAGTAGGTACATTTAATTAAATAAAATAAAATTTTTTTTTCTAATCCACACATTTTTAGCTTACACTTATCTTTATCTTATGATGATCGAACGTTATTTATATTATTATACCGTGATAAAAGAAAAAAATACATAACACAAATAGCTACATAATCACCCCGGATTCTGCAAGATTGCTTTGTTAATTAAAGTCTATGAGAAATAAATTTTTTACGAGTAACATCTTTCACGGAAATTAGATTCAAGTTTTTGCATTTCAAATTTATTTTTATTTGTTTCGCCTGTCTTGTCATGAGCATCTTGTGTTTTACGTATATTTTTTAGTTATTTTCTTGTTTAAGGTACAGTTGGTTGCACAATTTCATTAATATTTTATTTATACACAGTTTTTTCTTTCTTAAATGTTAACGTTTTTCAAGTCAAGGGTTTGTGTTTTTAATCCTAATTTTTTGACGTTTAATAATAAATTCATATGTTTAAAATCTCGCTATTATAGGTCTATACTCATGTTAGTTGTCCGATCTTGATGAAAAAATACCTGGCAAAGCAATAACATCAAAATTGTTGATAATAAATTTCAAATTATTATTTATCAAAATTACTTAATTTAAATATAGAAGTATTAAAGTGTTATTAATATTTTATACTTGCGCTAAAATATATCTATCTTGTTCGTTTAAAATGTAATAAATCATCATTCCAGTATTATTTTTTTTTCATAAAACAATTATTTTTTATTTGAGATATTTTTTTGAGGGGATATTTTGAACGGCTACCGCATATAGCTTATGAAATACAATCTATGATAACAATTATAATATATACATTACGAATTTCGATTTATATTAAACAATTTTGCTGGGTGAGGTGCATCTATCATCGTTTAAAGACTTACAGAAGTCACGTTTATTTGATTTTGGAATGTGAATAAAGATTAATGTTTGTCAATGCATTTATGCTGAGTAAACACATATGACTATTTACGAGTTATTACTTATTATATTATATGTACTTAGATATTTCATTGTTTTTTAGTTTATTTCATGTAACATGCTGTGTTACTCCACGAAAAACAATAACAATTTATTTTTAACAATATACTCCACGGTAGTAAAACCTTCAGTACTCAATAATTGTCTATTGATGTTACATTGAAAAACAAATCGTTTTTTATATGTATTTGTTGTTTTTTATTTTGATGAACTAAAAAAATGTAATACAATTATATGATAAAATTTAAAGATAAAAACAGAAGGTTTTATAAATTTATATAACCTTAACCCATTATTTAAAAAATGTAATGTTTGCTTATAAAACATAGGTAATAAAATAACGAAACAGCTGTAGTTCAAAAATTTGGATTTATAATAATGTATTTTAATAACATTAACTGTCGTCAAAGAAGCCATTAACAATATAATCTTCATAAAATTAATTGTACTAAAACTTGTCTGAATAATTGTTAGAGTTGAAGTTACAATAACGTTTGGTATGGAAAACTTAGCATGTAGCTTATTTATTTATCACTATTTCGTAAAATTGGATATCTATAAAGTTAATAAGAATTATTCAATAACTATTTACGTAAAATCGTGTAGTTGTATTTAGAACTGATATTTGATAAAACATAATACTATAAGTATAGTTCTCAAAATATAAAAGTACCTCATTAAATGTATTGTACTCTAAAAGTAATATTTATACATAAAAATATCACCTGATATTACACATTAAAATAATAGTTTGAATAAGTGCTATTCACAAGCTCTCAGAATTTTTTTTCTAAGTTAAATTAATTTTTTATGCTATTAAACATTTAATTTTATAAAATTGAAATAATTCTAATTTGAAGTATAAAACAGATCCTCAATGTATAGAATAGTTTTATTTTTAAACCTTCATACTTCTATAAAATAAGAAACATAAAACCATGTGTACTTTGATTATTTTAATTCCAAGCTTCAAGTATGAATGTTACGATGCTATTTTAAGTATAAATTGAGTGTGCAACTAAAAATTGTAAATACTAAATATGTTATACAAACAATCCCAAAATAACTTAGTCATAACGTAATATGTGAAATTACAAAAAATAATATGAAGAGGTACCTACTGATTAAAATTAATTAGATAAATAATACGGATATGCGATTTTTAAAATTACGCTAGGAATGAAGAGATACCACATGGTAAAAGAATTAATAGATGTTTTAAACTTAAAATCACGAGTAAATTTACGGGGTCGGTTAGAAAAAAGTTTCAGATAAGCTGCACGCACCGCTCATATTACACGTGGTGACCTGGGTAGAAGTGGTAGAACGAAACGACATGAGATAGTGAAATGACGAAACCTTAACGTTTGGACATGTATTCGCAGGATTTATAGTTTTTAAACAAAATATTGTGCATTCCACTGGTTTATTTTGAAACGCGTGAAATACATACCGAGATAACAAAAAATAATAATACTACATTCAACTACTGAGAGATATATCATTTTATAAATAATGTAAATACATTTCATAGATATTAAATAAACTGATTATAATTGTATGTGTTATATTGTTCTTTATGTGCGTAATTTAAATATTTAATATGTATCATTTTTAAAACTTTTTACATACCAACAATATAATAATGAATATTTAAATTTTTTTATACAAAAATACCACGTATTTTATGGTTATATTAACTGTGTTAATTTATCGTCAAAAAGATAAACATATACAGTTATAAAATAAAAAAAACAGATTATCGCACTTAAATTGAATATATTAAATATCATATTATTACTATAATCCGCTGGGACTTTGTGATTGCGTTAAACTCAATATTCAATAGAATTCATGTAGGTAACTGCCTAATTCGTCTTTTTAAAGTAACAATAAAATAAATTCACAATAACATAGACAAAATTAAATTATTTAGATCAAAGAAATAGTTTTAAGACTTTGAAATTAACAACTAAACTTAACTTAAATATTCTACTATTTAAGTTAAGTGCATGTTTACTAAGCTTTTGACCATTGATCAATATCTCTATTTCGTGTTACAATATTATGTTGTTCAGTTTGAATTGTATAAATGGATACGGTTTGCATTTATGATTATAATGATAATCGTATTTTATTTTAATATTTAAAAATATATGATCACCAGTTTAACGTTAAAAATATCTTTATCTCCATGTGGTTTTATTAAATAAATTATAAACTTAATTTAAATTAAAATTCATTATACGATTCAGGGGTTAGAAAAGCTACCGAGATGGTGTTAAAGATTAAAATATTTGCTTCATTACAGACTTAATTTTTTCAAAACCTTATGGAAAATTTGAAAAATAATTTCTGAGCTATTAATAAACATTAAAGCTATTTTATTTATCTTTCAAAAGGTTTTACATGATAAACCTTTTTACTATCACGAAAAGTGTGACCAAAGAATAAAACGCATCAGATTTTGAACCAAATAGATTTTTGATCCTAAATGTTCAATGTGTATTTCTCTCTGTAGCAGTTATTTTTTAATAATACAACTTTTATTGAGTTTACTTGAGCACAAATTCAGTATAAATATTTAACATTTTTATGCTTTGGGTCGATAGCAAAGATAACCGTCTTTTTTAAATTTAAATATAGGTTGAAAGCAGAGTATTTAAATTTTAATAAACATGAATAATTGCATAAGTGTAGTAAAAACCACATGCATAAATTGTTACGTCACAAAACCAATTGTCACACGAAATCTTATAAAAAAATAAAAAATTGCAATTGAAAACCTTCTTAGTAATTTATTCAATATAAACAACAATGTTTTATTGAAAGAAATCTATTTTCATCAACAATTGTTCACGAAGAGATGGCAAAATGTAAATTCCATGGTCTATCCAATAGTTAATAGTATATCTTGTGTATACTATACACAAAGTTAAATTTTACAGCACTTACCCTAAAAAATGTTGATATTTATTATTTTAGAAAAAATAGAACTAAAATTATGGACATTTGCGTAAATAGAGTACTTAATTGAATTCATCCACCACAAATTAAATAAACGCTTGCCAAGGTTTCAACATTCATTTACTTTAATTGCTTTCTTGTTGATCGTTAGTTGGTTTAAGTATACTATTAATTTCGACATATTCAAAATACATGGATACATTTTTTATACTTTTTCTTAAATTCAATAATGTTATAGTTTTCGTAGATATTTCACTTGTGTATAATATGATAAATAATATATATATATATATTTTTTTTGTGTACTATCATAATTTTATATTACTTTTGTGTCATCTTAGAAAATTAAAACCACTACGAAATGGCTAGTTGCGTAAATATAATGTACGAATAATCTTACGCTCACGATGTGTTTTTGATTTTTTCTTTTGTACCTACTTTGTTTATAAAGCTTAATATGTTCAATGAGAACAATATTTTACATGCAGTACGAGTGTTCATAAACGTGTTAAATAGTGCTTGTTTAAAAAGTAAAACACAAAAGCATGTTCATCATTATATCAATATATAATAATATGTATAAAGAATGAAACATAACAAAAATTATGAATGTATGCAAATTTATACAAATATTAATTATTATGTGATAAATGTGACAAGAATGTATCATAATTTTAATTGTGTTCATAAAAAAAATTATCCATTGCGATATCCGATGTGATAAATTATCTTTATTTCTCAAAAGTATTTCATGTAAAGAGTTTAAATTTTCTACGTACGCAGTACACACATTATTACAATAATGTAGAAAGATTATTGAAAATCAGATAATTTTATATTTTCTTTATATTTAACTTAGGTTTTATTGGAGTTAAATCATGACTATAATCAAATATATTTTGTATAATTAAAAAAAATAAATAGATTTCTAATGTCCTTGAATAATTATATTTAATAAGTATATTTTTGAGTGCCAAAATATAATCTAAAATCCACGATGTCGGTGTAGAAATAATGCATGTATTTTTATTTCACCACGGGTTGGGCAATTTGGGAAAATGTATCTGAACATTTGGGTCAAAAGAAAGTAATAATAATAATAATAATAATAATAATAATTGAACCATATCCGATTTTTGCTTACAATGCCATTATGTGAATTTTAAAATAACTATGTAATTATATTTATTCAGCTCGAATTGATACCTTTGCTTATAAACTTTAAATCTCTTCGGTTTGGATTACAAACATCAGTAGCAAAATGAATGTTTTAATTTAGTGTCTATTGGTTAATGTTCTGTGAATAAATATATTGTGTATGATGTATTTAGGTATCGGTTTTAATATTGAACATTTAATTTTGTATTATATCACATGTCGGTTTTTAATTGTTTTAATTTGTGTTTAAACCGGTTCAAGTCGTGTAGAGTGACTTAAAACAAAAAATGTCAGGGGTTTTAAAACAGTTTTTTACTATTATTTTTGTTAGGTGTCGACAATCCTCTCAACGATATTCGTGGACTTTGCACGTGCTGTATTCGTGCGGTACATGAACCGGTGCTGGTGCTGGAACTTAGAGAAGCGGTTCCCACAGTATGGCGATTTCAAGATCGCCGAGAATATATTGCACCTGGTCAACAACCAGGGTATGGTGTGGATGGGTATGTTCTTCTCTCCAGGGCTGCCCATTATAAACGTGGTCAAGTTGATGATTATGATGTACGTGCGATCGTGGGCGGTGCTCACGTGTAACGTACCACACGACGTCGTGTTTCGGGCCAGCCGAAGCAACAACTTCTACCTGGGACTGCTACTCACAATGCTATTTTTGTGCGTGCTGCCGGTCGGTTACGCCATCGTGTGGATTGAACCGTCGTGGCACTGTGGACCGTTCTCGCAGTACAAAAAGATCTATCACATCTTTACCAACTCGATCAAGAAGGCGATACCTAACCCGATGGTGCATCGGGTACTCGATTACATAGCGTCACCCGGTATCGTTATACCACTGTTGTTGCTCCTCATTCTCATCATTTACTACTTGGCATCGCTCACGTCATCGCTCCGAGAAGCCAATAACGACTTGAAAGTAAGTGAATGTGCTAGACCTGCTTCCTGTACGGTGGTCGTGAATTAAGTAAAATTATTAATCTTAAAATTAATATAAGAATGTTCAGTATTGTGCCAGATCATAAAATTATATTGTTTTTTCATACTATTTTTCAATTAAGTACGAGAAAAATGTTCTGCTTCAAACATTTTCGATAACATAAGTCAATTACAGATCTAGAAATGGTTTATCATTATTTTTAGAGGAGACTTTCTTGAGGAAGTAATTTTTTTTCAAAACTTTGAAGCTACTAATATTTTTAATGTCATCTTACTTTTAAGCTAATACAACATTCTATTAAATATATTGCACAAATATGTGTATTTGAGCCTACCAGGTGTTTATTGAAAAAAAAAAGAAGAAGAAAGATTCTATTTAAAATTTAATTGATTAATTTATGCTTATTTTATCTTAATACAAGAAATAATAAATATTATTTTATTTTGGAACTCGCTCTAAGAGGATAATTACTTCATCATATTATACATTATATTTACACCCATGTTATATTTATATGCAATAAATTCTAAATACCGTTAATATAACTATGATAAGACTGTAGAAGTGTATGAATGATAGCATATCCTTACAATAGTGCTACAAAGATCAGTGAATAATATAGGTAGATACCTAACATTATTATGTGTTTCTTATATCTATACGCGTCGTCCTTGGATTGTAATCTTCTGGGAATGGGAAAAGTGTATGGTAAAACTGTAAATTAAGTGGGTCACAATTATTAATATAATATTATAATACTATTTTTATTATAAATATTAAACGCCAATAATTATACATTAATACTTACTGAACTCGTTCCGCTAGCATTTCATAACACTACCTGAGAGCTCATCAGTCATCACCATTAATAATACTCACTCGTAGATGATATTGCGAATCGTTGATCGAGAATCGAATGATAAGATGGGCGCTAAAAAAAGACTGTTGACGACTGTGTTTTACTAATTTTTTTTTTTAGAGTTTTTTTTGCTTTCAAGTCTTTTACGCTAGATATTATATACTCACGAAATTAAAGTTAAATCGATTAAATCATTAGAATCTTTGAAAATTAGTAAAAATAGCGGACGCAAACAAAACGATTGACAGCTACTGTTTTAATTTCATTAAAATTGTCCGACAACGAAGAATATTACGTTCACGAGTATACCACAATATAACATACGATATGAATCGTAATTTCCGAACTGAAACACGGTCGACTTCGAGGTAGTCGACTTTATACTATGACCACCATCCATATTATTTTACCTAATTCGCAAGCAGGTAAAAATTAGATTTTTCATTGGCTAGTTTTTATGGGAATCTGTAACTACCAACTGTTTTTTGCATTTGCCACAGAATCAAATTCTCAACGATTCTCGACAAACACCGTTTTTGAGTGGGTAAAGTGTAATGTGCAGTGAGATTATAGTTTATCAGTAAAATGAGCCTCGGGAGTGAACACGTTTTATATTTGTTAGCTTCGTAACTTTAAGTCCGATAAAATGCGTAGTCGGTTTCCTGAAAACATGCATAAAGTAAAAATCTATAATATTTTCATCTAGGTACTTGTATTTGCTTTTTGTTTACAGATTCTTTGTTTAGGGGTGTATCTAAAATATTGATTACATTGATTTTAGTTGCATAGAAATAGATATCTTAATAAGACAATTATTTAATTAATAGGTCATTAATATCATAAAAATATATTAACAAATAGTCTTAAATGTTTGACTTTATAAAAAATTCAAAATAGAATTTGAATAAAAGTAAAATTAATATTTAAAAAATGGTTTCTACTCTGTAATATTTGTATTAAACACAAGGACCAGTGCTAACATGGGAAAGGATCGTTTTGGATGGCTGTATTTTATTAAATAATTTAAGTAAAATTGATTTAAAAATTTACATTTATAGGAAAGAATCAGGGGAATCTGCACTTTGACTTAAAAGTGTTCAATACATATTTGTTATGCTATTATATGCTACTATTACATTTGAACAAAAAATTAAGTTTTGAAGCTTAATAGTTTTGGATATTCGTTTAAGAATTGTCTTAGTATGCGTTTTAAAATTCGAAATAATGTTTTTAATTGTATTTTGAAACACAAATTAATTCTAAGCTAATTGCTTAGACTTAATTAGACATTATATAATAACAAGCTTGTTTTTTGGAAAGTTTATTGAGTCATTGTACGACACAAGGTTATTAATGATAACAATAATTTATACTGACGATCAAAATGTATTGTTAAATTTGTTCAATTATTGCATATGCACAACTATTTACGTGCATTAAAGCAATCTTGAATAATAAAGGATACACGATGAAGAAATAAATCGATTTTATCCTCACACCTCACTGCTCACAAATCACATTACGATAATAATATATAGGACAAAAATGATTAAAATGGGAAAATTTTGAATGAATAAACATAACAAACTTAATAAAAATGAATGTTTATTACAATATAAATTTGAACGTTTGTATTATATTATTCCGAGATGTACATCATTAGGTATATATGTATAACTAATTTATTGACGTTAAAACATCCGAAATGTACATTTTCGCTTTATTCTAATTTTAATGTGTTAGCTGAATGCCCAAACGTTAAATTTAAAACCATTTAACGATAATATACTTTATAGTGTACATAAGTACAAACATATATTGTATTTATACTCGTTCGTATTCCAGGTGTTCCAATTTTCTACTAAAATCGAATTTTTGTTTATTTCTAACTTAGTAATGTAATAAGTTTCTAGTTTCCACCACAACAAAGTTCAGCTTTTAGAATTTAAAAACGGCACATTGCAAAATATAATATAATTTAGAGAATACATTTGTTAGGTATCTATATCATTTTATCAAGGAAAACTGCATCTTAAGTACTAAGATTTTAATTTACGAGAATTTAAATCGATATTAACTATTTAGGTAGGTATAAATAAGAATAAAAAATAAAAAAAAACATAAATTAATCAAAACGTATTTGTTTAATGTTATGAATATTTTTTTATTTATCGAATATTTAAGTTCTATAATGTAAGATGATAAACGTTTGAATTTAAATTGATATTACTATACATGTTCACAAAAATGGTATGTTTTATATTTGTAAACAAAAAAATGTTAATTTTGATTATCGAAACGAGCTGGCGAGACCTGTTGAAGGCTATTTCCAAGAATTTTTCATTTTCTGTAATTTTATAAAGGAAGAATTGTTGTACGAATATCCAAACTTAATTCGCATGTTTACTGACATGACATAAATTATATTCGTAAAAAAATAATCAAAAATGATAATTTTACTAACAAAGGGCTGAAATTAAAATATGAACTTACATTAATGCATATTTATTATCACGTTTACATAATTATATTATACATGGTATTACTTATTGATTTTATTCATTTATTTGTCTTAAGTCATATATATATATAAATAAACATATAATTTATTACCGAAAAATATTAAAACAGCGATTCACAACTATTGATACATAGTATTATAATAAAAACATAATAAATTCTGTTTATTTTTGGTCAAAAATTAAGCAATTTATGAATTAATCGTAATACCATATTGACTACTGACTAAATACTAATAGAAAAGTAAATTACTTATTGTAATATAAATTTATTATTATAAAATTCGAGACTGACATACAGTCTTCACTCAAACATGTTGTTAGTAAACAATGATTTGTTATTGAATTCAAAATTAATTTATATATTACTTATATATCGGTCATTAGAAATAGACAACTGGCATACTTCTTTATCTCACTTGTGTTACATTTTAAAATTAACAAATTAACAGTTAGGTATAATTATAAATACAGAAGTTTTAAATTTTATTGACTTTTTTTTTTATGTTCTTTATCCCGTTAGACTTAAAAGTTCCAATGAAAAATATTTTTTATTCCTTAGTCAAAAAAGGTTAATGATTCAATATATTAAGGTTCTATCCAATAAAATAAAAACCATTTAAATTATAAATAATAAATAAATTGATATTAATAATTAATGTATTTTTGATGATCAATATAATTTGTAAATAAATCATTTTAGATTTTATAAAATATGCATAAAATTAATTTATGACAATTATAATATATATAACTCATACTACACACAATTTTCCATAGCAAATTAAAATTATTTCATTTCCATATTATTGTTGTCGATTACATGCGTGTTACAAAATAAACTTCATACCACACAACACAGAAACTTTTGTATTATACGCAATAAAATTACGCCTAACAATTTTTTTTTGTTTAATTCTATAATTCACGGCGTTTACGATTATTCGTTACAGATAATGTCATTTAAGTCTTCTGACCATAAAATTTATTGTTCAACGAGTATCCTCGTAAACGTACGGCCGTACACGGTATATTTTACCACGGTTTTCAGGTCTTGTGACTCGGTTTGATTTTTTGAGGTAAACGGTATCTTGACTTCGATTCCACTCTAAGTTTTAGACTTGGCTGAAATATTAAGCATTGAGTTGAAAGTTTTCGTAAGTTAACTAGCATGAGACATAATTTAATAATTAATTATACTAATATTCGTAATTTTTGACTACAGAGAATTAAACATAACAAATAACAATAGTGCAAAAATTATGAGTCGGAAGTAAATTAATACATATGTATAAACACAACTATTTTCATGATGACAACATTTAAATTATTTTTTTTGCAAAGAATAAATTTAAATTAAAAACAAAACTGCTCCGAGTTACCGAAAAACCAGATAAATTGTGTAATGTAAATATTATATTATATAGAAAGCAAATAGATTAAAAACAATTTTATAAAATTTAAAAATGTAACCTACTTATATTTAATGAATATATTATATTATACTATTATAAAATATATAGAAAAAAAATTAAAAAGGGAAAAAATAGGTAAGTAATTAATCTGCTGTACAATAAAATAATAATTGTTATGTGTACTGCGTCATTGACTAGTAAGTCACTGTAATTTATGTTTTAAATTTGAATTTAAAGATAAATAAATGCAAACAAATAACAACTCTGAGCGAATATGGTCTATCAGTCTATATCACTAAATATATTTTAAATTGATATTAAAATAATTTATTTTACTAATAGTAATACAGTAGGGTAAATTAAAGTTTGCATTCGAAAATATCATTGTATATGTATATTAAAAATAATAATACAGGACAACAATTTTAAGCACCCTTGCGTAATATTTTTAAATTACAACAAAATAACTAAAATTGTTAGTCTACGTTTAAAAGTTAAATGTAGTCTTAATTTGAAATCAAAATGTCTATAAAAAAAAAAAAAAAACTGTGCTTATATATTTTTAAATTTTTTGCTTACAGTATGAACTGATTATTATAAATCTTTTATTAAATTCTCAATCCTTTGTTTTAAAAATTGAAACATTTTGTTAGTTTTTGATGTATATATCAATTTTTATAAGAATTATTTTATTGTTGTAAAAAGTTAACAAAATTTAAAAACTGAACTTTTTTATGATAGAAAATGAAAGTATATATTACTATTATATTGGAAGAAAGGTTGATTTTTGTAGAAAATGGTAATGCCCCACTTTCCAGTCATTAGTCATTACCGGTATAACGTTTGATAAACTGTTTTTGCATATATATTTTACGACTCATTGTAATTATCTATATTCTTGATACAGAAATCTAGATATCTTATAATATACTTATATACATATTACCTAGTATAAGAGATTACGGAGATTTACTTTAAATTTAAGTCATCAATTTTAACGAATGTTCCAAATGCATTTTGTTTATAAATATATTTAGATAACAACACAGTTAGTAAAGCTCTATAAATACTAATGGTAATAATAAAAACAATTAAATAAAACTTTTTTTATCTAATTTATCAAACAAATTTATATAACCAGAATAATTTTATCTCAATATTTTAAATAATACCATCATTTATAGATACAACCTTGCTATACAAATAACATAAAACACATAAATTACATTTAATAGTAATCAAAAACATAGGTAATGTATTTATTATATTATATTAAAAAAAAAAATCGTTCCAATCTATCCGAGTTATAATATATTAACATACCTACTCTTCAAACATGAATAATTATTGATGTCTCAAGTTCCCGTTAGCCCTAGTTAAAACCTTACTGCAGGTACAACTATAGAATTAATATTTATACGTCGAGAAAGTTGCAGGAACGCTTGGAATCTTAATGCTTCAAGAAAAGTGAATATGTGCAATTGCATAATATACCATCAGGCACGCAAAATTTTATTTTATTTTGGAGGGGGGGGGGGTCTAAATAGTTTTAAATCAATTTTTATTTTTATTTTTTTACATGATTGATATACAAAACTTTAAATTTTTAATTTTTTTTCTCTGGAGGAGGTCTTTGAACTCCTCTGGATTCGTGTCTGGTTATCATATTATCTATGATAATAATAATAATCATAACTATTGTTTTTATGATATTAACAGACGCAACTAAGACGCGAGCGGACCGAAGAACGACGAAAAATGTTTCAGCTGGTAAATAGGAAGAAAAACAGTAGTGGCGTTGATGACGATAACGAAGATGATTACGCGTGCATGGATACAACGTTGGCAAAGTGGAGACATATAATGCCTAACAGTAAACTGCAAACAGACGTTCCGAGCTCCGTGTTTGAAATCGCCGAGAAAAAGCTCACAGGTTAGACTACAGAAAATAAAAATAAATAATACTTATATCCAGGGGATAGATTGGGACGCTAATTTGATACAGAAAAGCTGTATCAAGTGGCCCATTTTAATTAATCAGATTGTCTAAATATATATCTCATAACATTTTTTTTCTATATCAGTGTCATTTTAGAGGTAGTTATTTATCTAGACATAACTGCGTTTACTTATGCTCGTTTTAACATTTTTATTCTGATCTTATTATTTTATTTTACTTAAACTAATTACACAATAACTAATTAAAAACGAATATTACAAAAATAATTTTATTAGGAATACCACGAGTTTTAAAAAAAAAAGTAATTATTTTTGCTTGTTAGGTAAAACTTTCAATTTAAGAAAAAGTGATACATTTTTAAAGATTTTTAGATGTAATGAGCATGGGTATTAAACTGCATTAATTGCTCGTGTATAAAAAATATAAATAAAAATCAAAGTATGATTATACTCGTAACTTATTATAGTGTAGTAGTGTACCTACACCTATTATACATCTATATATTCTGGTATAGATCAAGCTTAACGAATTTTGAACAATATATTATATCTATTATTATTGAAATTATTATAATTACACATTAATGTACTACTTGTATGGATATATGAGGGTTATGGTCATTGATATTGTGCACTTTCGTTACAATGAATATGATTTATATATAATAATAAAATGGGTCAAATATAAATTTGACCGTTCCGGTCGTCACAATGACGTGGGTTGTGATCATATTACAACGATACCGATTGTAAACATTTATCACAATTTCAAGTCATAAGCAAAGGCAGCGGTTCCGGTTAAATGGTGGTAATGTGTACGTGTAGAATACACTATACACTATAATACATTAATACATACATGATACATGATATACCGTTGGCGTTGGGTAATAAAAATTAAAAATACGTCCTGTAAAGTGACGTTTTCGTCTTTCAAAATTGACATTGAGATTAAATATAGACCTCAGATCTCACCATAATAAGATATATATTATCACCTATGGACAGAATTTATCTGATGCGCGGACAAAAAATCAATTTTTCTGTTAGTGAGGTTTTCGTTAATTTTATTTAATCTTTTGCATATGTCTTACTTTATTTAACTCGAACATTAAATGTTTACGATTTCAGAAAACTTTCTTGATTCTAAAAGTAGTTCACAAAAAAAAAAAAAAATCAATGTATTACTTTCTATGTAGACTGTATAGTACCATATAATATAATGGTTTATTGGTATATAATCGTAGTTACAGGCGTATAATGTAAAAACCTATGCACTCATAATATATATAAACACGTCACACGTCACACGTAACAACAATATACATATACTATATACGCAGAGTAGTATAAATATAGACCAGTGATAAACATAAAGTGATAATTGACGGCTCCTCCGTCGCCCGTTTGCCAAGGACGTAAATGAAACCATTATTCCAAACTGACGCATTTAATAATTCAAAAGAGTGAATAAATACGCATTCGCGTGACGAGATTTAGTGAACCACGCTATACACGTACTGAGATAACTATTTAATGGAGACGGTGTGTCGGAGAAATGCGTTATAGTAGTTAATGGCAAACTTTTGTGTTCGAATGGACATGACCAACCGAATAATAATAGTTTATCGATCGCAAGTTTATCGGTGGTTTTCTGAAAATGTAATTTTCTTTATCAGTAACTATTAAGAATGGGTTCAAAAACTAAAAAATATTGTACGTATGAAATATATTCTCAATACTCATTATAACACAATCAGACAACCACAACGACTCGTATTTATGGTATCTATTTTCCATTCACCAACTAAATAATAATAATTCTACTTTATTATATTTTTATCTTTGATATTATATTAATAGTTACAACTATGATTAAATCTTTTAAATAATTTAGAATTATTTTGCATTTCTGTATTGTGATAATTAATAACATGATTATAAGTACTCAATAATGAATAATTAATAAATAATAATTAAAACTTAGCTTGATTTTATTGTTATGTCACATGGTTAAATTATATATTTATATATATATATATATACATATTATATATTATACTGTATATTAATTAAATTTTTTTTTCAAAGCTATATATTGTTTTATTCATCGATTAAATCATAACGATAGTTCCTAATTGAAATATTAAATATATAATCATTAGCGTTTTTCGTTATTCGTATTAAATACAATATGTTTTCCATAAATTATCAAGCTGATTTTTTTTTTGTACAAAAATTAAACTTAAATTGTAATAATTAAAGTACTGTATGGTATTTTTAAAATACTGTAGTTATTCTTTATAGTATATACAGTCGATTCCGCTTAATAAATACACCAGTTAAATAAGGACAACCACTTAATCGAGACAATTATTTAAATACAAAAATAAATGTATGGTTGTAGTATAAACGTTCACTGTTGATCTTGGCCACGAATCCAGACAGTTGAGACATTTTTATCAAATACATTGTATCAATTATGATCAATATTATTCGATAATATTCGTGTAATCGAATTGAGTTGTTCATAAACCTTGATCTCCTATTAAAGAAAACACAATTTCTCTTAATGACATTTCTGTAATCTTGTTAACTTACTTAATATAAATAAAATTTGATATCAACTCTTTATTATGCCATGTTCAGTTCTTAAAGGTTAATGTAATTTTTTTGGTCGATCACTACGACAATAATATTAGCTGAGTTTGTAAAATTAAATTTCTATCCACTTTTGGAACCGGGATGACAACACGGTCTCTAACTTTAAATATTGGTGTTTTGGTCTTATTATCCTATAATATAATAAAATAATGAATTATTTTAAGTAAATATAAAAATGAAAATTATTTTACTCACACAATTTTTTCTATTCCTATAGCTACTAGCTTAGATGACGTGTTTCCTTAATTTTCAATTTATTCTCACATAAATTGCATACGATTGCTTCGACAGAGTGCATTTATATACATTCTTTTCTGCAGGACATTTTTATTGAAGAATGAAGATTGACTTTTCACAATGAAATTATTCATAATAATTTTATTATTTTTAAATAAAGGGTGGTGTTGTTAAATTATAAATAAACGTACATTTAATAATATTATCTCGATTAGTGCATCAGATGCACTATAATAGGTACACTGCACCTACTAAATACGTATACGAGTAGTATTTGTATTATTGCTTTAAAATTCTTGTAGTTTATTTTAAAGATCAATGAAATAATTATTTTCAACTATAACACAGACAATGAGGTGTTGGACAGAGTGCGTGAGAAACTCGTGCACATAGAAGCAGAGGATCAGCAGTCTGAAAACCAAAACCACCTTAGTCGAGAAAATCAGCAGCAACAACAGCAAACGCAACCGCAACACATCAAGCCTCAACGCAATCATCACCACCATCAGCCACCGCTTTTACAACACCACCACCACCATCATCATCATCACCAGCAGCATCTCTATCACCACCTCCGTCGGCCGTCAAGGAGTGAAGAGCCGCGGGATACAGCGGCGACGCTGCGTAAGTGGAAAAAGCCCAAAGTGGTCCGGCGTCAATCATCCGAGTCGGAGTCGTCGGATCAGTCGGAAGCAGTACCGGAAATCCGTGAACCAATTCAACCTCAGGTCACCACTGCTTTGCATAGTTCCGGGTTACATCATAGAACCACAACGGCTGAACTCCCGGTCAGCGGTGCTGTTGTTGAAGAAGGAGGTCCTGCGACCGCCGTAGATCAACCCGTCAAGCAGAGGGCTAGACTCAAGTTGGCGCAGATACTTTACAAAGAAGCGCGGAGAAGAAGACAAAAATATCTAGAAGAACTGCAAAACCAACAGGAATAAATGGAACACAATAGATTCACACTGTAAGTCATTTTCGAGTCATTTTTGTTTTTTTTGTTTTATTTTTTTGTACAAAATGTGTGTACCGTTTTGTTTTTGGATCACATGTATCATTGCTTAAGCATAACGCGTTTCCATTAGGAGTATAGTTTTCTTTTGTTGACTAATATTCGTTTTCATTAAAACAATTACTATATACTATTACAACTTATAATATAGTACATTTATTTAAAATACTATAAAAATAAATTAAAGAACATTATGATATATTACATTTTAATAACAACATTTCTATTGCAATGATCGATAATATAACTTTGTACCGGTGTTAAATTCGTGAGTTATCTGGATACATTTCTATCATTATATTTCTATATAATACGAAATAAAGTTCTATAATTATATTAGATATACATTCTTAATATATGTATATAAGAATATAAGATCAATATAATACAAAAACAATAATAAATAAAAGATTAACTAATTGTAAAATTACATACATATTTAATTTAATTTTTATTTACTTTAAAAAACTGTTGTTTTATTTATTGTTTTATTCAGTCATTCATAATTTCGGTATCCGTACAGATTTAGCATTATTGCTTAATAACTATTTTCAAAACGAAACTAAACAAATATTATTTTAATAATTTATCTTTAATGAATTTACTATATTACAAATTTTAATAATATAATTTATATTGTTTTAAAGAAAAATTGGTCAATATTTAATTTAGTGAAAATGAATACTGCCTCATTAGTCATTAATCATTATATACCATAATTTACCTGCCTTAAAAATGTATTATGTGCTGTTTAGTTTAAAATCTATTGCAACAATTTTGGAAATTTGATCTGACAATATTTACATCCAATAAAAAAAATGTATACATAAAGATTAATTGATTATTTTTCATCGTTTTATATTAATACTTGTAGATTATGATAATAATTAATAATTAATAAAACAAAATTACAACTGGATTAAAATCTACATAAAAATTAAAATAAATATATTGACTAAAGTTTAGAACACATTTTAATCAATATTATTTTTCTAGTATTATGAAAGTGGTTTATTACATTTAAATATTTGTAACACAATATTTGTCTACAAAATAACTATGGTTGATATTTTTTAAATGCGTGTAAACTTTTCTTGGTATTTATTTTCATATTACGAGTACATTAATTAGAATAAATTCAACTAATCAAGTTTTCGCAGGTTAGGCCAACTTGCATTCCTGGTATATCTGTTAATCTTTATTCAAGTATACGTTAAATGTAGAAAATTAGAACATGATCACTTGACATACTTTATATCCTAGTAAAGTGAGGTGAATAAAATTAGAACCAGCATAGGTAAAAATTTAAATACTTAGGTACTCAGTATTTAGTTAACTATTATTATCTTATATAAGATATGATGATGATATTTTAACAGTAGTTAACACATTATATATTATATAATATATAATAAAATATGTATATTTTCACTATTTTCACTATCATTATATATTATAAAATATAAATATTGAAATATTAATTTGATATTTGACATACTCATTTGTACTTAATTTATTTTTGTGGATGATACTAAAATTAGAATTCATAGTTTTAGAGTAGTGCATTAAGATTACAACATTTTCAAAGTTTTTTTTTTAGTTTGGCTTAAAATATATTTTTATTTATTTAATTTCAATTAATTTACATAAAAAAACTCTGAAGGTTCTGTAATTTTAATGATCTACTCTAAAATTGCCTACTGCTTGTATGTGTCCTCCCATACGAGCTGGTTGTCCAATCAAAATGGTTTAATTAGCAAATTTCTTAGAACAGTCGTATGGAAAGGAGTTCTACGCATCAGCTTTTATAATATAATTATTTATGTTATATTATTTCACAACAACATACAATTATACTCAGTGGTACTTAACAACAGTTTTTTATATACTTATCGATCTCTGCATGATCTGTTATTTCATTAATATTTTGGTATACGGTTTCAGAGAGCACATTTTTTGGAGGCACTAGATTGATTTCAAATTCAACCTGAAGTTTAAGTCTTACTCATTTATATTGCATCTATGTGACTATGTACGATACATATTATATTTAGTATGTATATAAATAATCAGTGTGGACGTTGAATAATTAGTTTCTTAGTTCACCATTATTTAAAGTAAAATTTAAAAATATATATTATTAAATATCTGCACATCAGTATTGAAATACGATCATTGTAAACGTGTAGTTTGTTGGCTTCATATTTAATTTAACAATTTTTAGTCGCAATAAATTAACTGTTAACACAATTTTGTTTTTATGTTATTTTAGTTTTTTAATACATTGTTTATCGTTACGCTAATTTAACCCCTTATTTTTCTCGAATCACTCCACTCATTTCTAATATATATTATATATTTGTGTGTAGTATTTAAGAGGATGTAACATGCTTAGTATGTAAAGTACAGCTGCACTCTCTAGGTATACAGTATTATATTATATAACACATTGATACCAAACTCGTTTTTTGAATATTTTGTCATGTGATATCAATAATTTTATTATATAGTTCAACAATTATTAGAGTAATATAATTTTTAAGTTCAAAAATAATTAATCACATATTATTATATTATCATTGTTATCTAACCTTTTGTTTTAAACTCTCAAGAAATTTCCTAGTTTCAAATTTAGATAGCGGGTACTCCAAAACCTTTCAAAACACTTTATTTGACAAGAAATGTATAGAAAAATATGGATTTTTACAGTATTTGGGATAAGTTAGGAATTTCAAAATATATTTTAAATTTGGTTACCAAAAATTACTATAATATTATGTTTTTAATTACTTTTTATTCACAATCTAGAAGTTATAATAAATTAAAATTTTAAATATATAGATAATTATTATGGCTTTATTCATGCCTGATGATAAATGATCACTTCTATTTTATTAACATTAGTACAAGTAGTCGGGAGAATGAACATTAGCTGCTGGTACGAACGCTCCCGGTGGTGTAATTCTACAATAGATTCACAAAATAATAAAAAAAATGTGCACGTATTTTGATTTTTGAATGTTTTTAAATTTTATAATAACCACTATGCAATAGGAATAAATAACTTTCATAAAAATATAACCATTCTGTTATTTAATACAAAATACATTCTAATGCATGTACACGTACAAGCAGGGCCGGTGAGAGGGTGGGGCAGGTGGGGCCAGAGCCTCCAGGAGGGCCCGTTTTCTGGGGCATATTTAGGCACAGTCGTACAGGCCCTATAGACCCGGGAGGTCAATTTTACTAATTTTTTGAGTAGAAAAATTATTTTTATACAAATTATATGTTATATAATTCAGAATTACAAGTTAAGTCGTAAACATTCGCGTCCGATCGCTCAAAATTAAACAGCTACATGTAGCTACTATATTATCATTTATCACATACGCAACACAGTACGAAACAGTACGCACAAAGATAACAAAACATACGCGCATTCAATGCGAGTTCGATCTGTGTAATCGTCTAACCGGTTAGATTACTGTATTAAAGTGTTATGTTTATCTTAGTATTCTTAGTCAAATATGAAATAACTATAAGTAAAGGGGCCCGGAATTGATCAGCCCCGGGGCCCACAAATATTCTCGCCGGCCCTGCGTACAAGTCATATGGAACAAATATTTTATACTAATGCTTCACGTTACACAGGTTGAGAACTCCAGTTCATCAAACAAATCTTTGGGTATCTTATTTTACAATAGCCAATTTTTTTTCTTCCGACTATAATAGTACTTATCATATTTCATTGTTCGTTATACTCCTTTATCATACAATATAATATTATGTAATCTGTAAGTAATTTTTAATCGAAATATTATTATATTAGCTGGGAATGTTATTAATAAATTCAATATAGATAATATCTAAAATCTAAACATGAAAATGCGTTTAAATGTAATGCGTGTCATTCCTAAGTGCAATCCCAGATTAAAGATATTCATACCAGGAATGTTAAAATTTAATGTGCCTCTCTGGGTTAAAAATTATTTTTAAAACATTGTTAATTACTATTTTTTAGGTTTTTTGAAACTTTTTTTGTTTAATAATAATAATAATTATAAAACTATTAAGACTAGACATATAATAGTTTAATATTAGGTATAATATTAAAAATATATTATTCAAAATTATAAACTATTTGAATAATTATGGTATATTCACCAAAATATCACTCTAGTAACAAATTATATTTTAAGCATTAGACACAAGCATAAAATATTTTTAATCTACATTTATATGTTAAAAACTATATATATCAGTTAATTATTTTAAATTTTAATATCATTAATTTTTTCATAAAGATTAATAATTATATATTAATTCTGTGTGGCGTATATTAAATCAAACTACATTGTTCTAAACCTCTATTTTCACTTATTTACAAACATAAACATATTGTTATTAAATATTTATATATTATTTATCACTTAGTATTTATTCAAGGTATGAACATATTTTAGTTTATTTTAAAAATGTGTATTGCAAAAATATTTTGTAAAAAGTGCTTAAACTTTAAAAGACCATAGGACTCTGGTCTTTCGGACCTGTAAACAGACACTTTGTACTGTCTATTGTTTGATTTGTACAACGAATATAAAAAGGTAATAATTGATCATGAACATTTTGTATGGTCACAATAAATGGGTAATTATTGATCACAAACACTATACGATAAAAATGAACTTGGAAATACATTTTAAAAAATGAGATAGGATTTAATAACTGTTCAAAATGTTAATATCCAGGATAGCGAGCACAATATTGCAATCGCAATTAGTAAAAGTTTGATATTTTACAGTAGAACATACATAATGAACCAAATTACGAAATAAATCCAAAAATATTTAATGTATCATTTAAGAGTAAATAATTCAAATATTCCAAGTGATTCTTAATGGCGTATTAAACTTTTTGCTAGATAGAAAAAAAGGACAGTAAAATGTATAGCTTAAATAACGAAAATCATAAATTTCATTACAAAATATTCAAATATAGCCTTTTTGATCCAAAACCGTAGGCTTAAAATTTAGAGTGGATGTTTCAAAACTTCAAAAAGTCTGTATATGGTAAGGAAATAAAACTATAACTAAATAAATTTATAATTGTAAGTTAATATATAATTTATAGTTTATTCACAATAACTTAATATTTTTAAAAATCATTAATTTTAAGTATTTATAGTATTATAGTATATTTTTTTCTTATTATTTATATATTTTATATGTATTGATTATGTTATTTTATTAATAACTATTAATATATTTTTGTTAGAAATCTAAGATAAAATTATAGGATTTTTTCCACTAATGCCTATACCTGTTTGTTTTTTATGTGTAATAATAAATTACATAAAATATATAGGGTACATTTCTTTCTACCTGGAGTAGGTACTAACAGCTGTCCACCATATTCAATAGTGTTACTACCTAAAATAAAATTGTACAAACTAACTGCGGGTTATACGACCGTACAAAATGCCTTTTTAACCTTCTCGACAATCTTAATCTTAATCTTTCAATTCTAATGCCGTTTACTCACTTTGGTAAATGTTATCTTTCAACAAGTCCGATGTGTCCTCCATCTCCCTCCCTGTGTTGGTGTACGTCCGTCCAAAATACGGAATGGGACAACCATTGGGATACATAGACTTGTCGCCATAGATGATATATCGTCTAACATACTGTGTCAATACTATCTATTAACAAAAAAAAAAAAAAAAAAATGACCAACATCGGATTGTTTTGTCCTTGTTATTTGTGTGCCACTCAATTATTGAAAGATACCACATGGGGTTTAACCGACCATACTCCACACCACTCCTCTAGCACCGAGCATATTATGTTTGTCATACATTCCAAGAATTCGACTGCTATAACAATATATTTTCGTAGACTAGTGTGGTGTTGGCTCGCAACAAGACGTTCTTAGAATATAACGTTGAATTTTTGAAAGTAGTAGTGAGGTCAGTGAGGGTTGTTTTTTATATAAAAACATATATTTTTGTCTGTATTAGTATGTTATATACTTTATGTTTACATAAGGAGACAAATAAATAGCTTAATATAATTGTTATGTTATTGCTAATATTAAAAAAAAAAAAAAAAATTAATAGAAATTAATAATTTATTTGTCAAGGATTACCTGAACATTAGCACAAATCTATAAATATTGTAAACATATATTTTGCAATAAATAAATTATATTATATGTATTTAATAATGAATACTGATTACCGAAAAATGATAGAAGTTGCAGATTTTTCTCATAATTAGTGTAATTAATAATTTTTTATTTATAAACATGCACTTTTAAATATAATATGTAAGTCATGAGATTTAAAAAAATTAACATTTGGTTATTTTTCATTTAATCATACATATGAATTTTTTGAAATAAAACATTTTCCCTTTGATTTTTAATTTAAAAACGTATATTAAAACCGTACCCGAGGCTAACCTAAAATATGATATAGAGTTTAAAATTTAAGTCGATTACTTATTATTGTATATGAAGAAGTAGATAATATGTTTTAAATTTTATTATAAAGAATAAATTAACTCATTGTGTTATAAAGTAAAAAAAAAACCATTAGTATATAGTAAAAAAGGTCTTTTAGAATCACTTTTTAGGTAAACAAGTATTATGCGGCGACATAAGGATCGGTCGTCGGCATGGTTGTGATTGTTTGCCGTAAACTGGTTTTTAATTCATTTAGTATTTTTTTCACAAATTCTTAGTACAGAGCCGAATTAATACATTATAAATACTGTGGGCGAATCAATAATATTATTTTCTATTAAAAATTTAAAAATTTAAAATTAAGAAAGTAACAGGATAGCTGTAGGTAGTCAATTAAAATGCCAATTTACTTATTATGATAATGTTATTATTTAAGAAATAACTGTATGTCTATATAATACATGTACCTACTTTTATATCAGCTTCTAATTTATTTATGCTCATAACTCATAAGGCAAAATTAATAATAGGATCGCAATATTACTAATGTAAATATTATTATAGAATTTTATAAGTAAATATTAATCATAGTAAGAAGTCGAATCACATTGCTTTATTTTTTTTTTTATTACGAAACACTGTTGAACTTTTCTTTTTGAATCTTACAATATTTGTGAGCATAATAATATGATCGCTTATTTAAGTAAATGGTAAACGGACATTTTGTC